AGCCACTCAGAGCAATCCTCAGACGCCTCATCGGCTATAGGTCCTACCCCTGCAGCTTCTTGCTCACACTCAGAAGGACAATACTCAGCTAGATCATCAGGAGGACTCAAATCAGGTCGCAACTCGGGACTCAAGGGTATCGAGTACGCTGCAGCAATGAAGTACTTATAGCCACGTCCACGATCCCTGCCAGACGCAATCGGGTCAAAACTGCGACCATCCTTGAACGGTCCAGCAATGTCGACACTCAAAGAGTACAAGGTGGTGATCCGAGATCGCCAATGACTCCGCTGGCGACCTTGAGCAGCTATGCAGTCACCACACCCCCTCCTAAAAGGGATATGATCGTTGGCCCTATGCCTACGAAGACTCTCCTCTTCGGTTAGCTTCGCCAACAAAGCTCGGCGCTCACTCAGGTCCCCAACTTCAAGCCTACTACGTCGGCACTTCTCCCAAGCATTTTTCACACACCCAATCAAACCTGGAGCCCAAACCCGACTCCCATTGATCCTCGAAGACTCAGGCATTTGAATATGTTCCGGAACCCGCAGGGCATGTAGGCTCTCGAACACATCCCACGAAGAGGTCACAAGGACAGTGGAATCCCGCGCCAAATTTCCCAGACATCCCTGATCAAAAGATACCCGGTACAACCCATATGCCTCACGGAGCCCTTCCACTTCTTCAGGCCTAGTCAACCCATCAAAGGACCCCTCTAAGACAAAGAAGACAGCCCTCTCTGTCTGACCACCTTTGCATACAGGCGGACTCTCTGCAGCTCGGGGCCCCCCTTTTAGGTCACTCAACTCCGGCTCAACCGACATCTGAAGCTTGACAGCGGCCCTCCGTAAAGCCCACAAGGCTATTTCATGAGGATCATCAAGACCCTGAGGAGGCTCTCCGGACCCTGACTCGCCCTCACCAGCAGGCTCACGCGGCTCGGTAACTTCACAAGCAGTGTTCTCAGCAGCTGCCTGCGCCACCATATACACTAAGCATAACCTGAACCATGATACCTGCTTTCTCAACGCAGCTTCCTTTTCACTGTCCGAAAGACTACTTCCCAGTTCGAAACCCTTTTCTTCGGTAGAAGCCACAATTCCTCCAAGAACACCAGACTGAGCCCACTTTAGAACCTGAAGGAAGACCGGCACAATCCCGAGATCACTACCGAAGTCCCTCCGAAGCTCTACTACTCGTCCAGGACCCTTCCACTTGTCGCCTACAGCCCCAACACGAAGAAGTACCGACCCTTGCGTATCCCGATCAACACTCCTCCTAAGCCTGCGATTCCAAGGAGCAACACCCTGGCAACCCGCAAAGGGATCTTCCGGATCAACTACCGTCCTCTCTAGAACCCAATCCGAGATCCCAGGAAACACACTCCTCAAAAGGCTCACTTGAGTAACCCGATCTAGCAACCCGGCAGCCGACTGCTTCAGTTGATCCCTTAACCACATCTTCACTTCTTTCGCGTTAAGCTGTTCCCCAGCTTCAGAGCATGTCAATCCCTTTACCGAACGAGACCCTGCCCTAAACCTTTCATACTGATCCAGAAGCCGCATCCCAAGTTCCCTAGGTACCAAAGGACATCCCTTCACCACACTCACCTCAAGCTCTCCGAGTTTGGGATGCCGTATTCTACAACCCTTCTTCCCCCAAGAGATACGGTAACCCATACTGACTAAGTACCCGGCAGGCAATATGAGCTGGCAATCAACAGGGCTAAGCAAGGTCCCATACTCGTTGACGTGCAATTCAGTGACACCTGATGCCAGATCAACCCGAATGGACTCAGCCCCACGAAGCTCCTCAGAACAAGCAAACCTCAAGGCGTTTGTGGCACCAGAGTCAATCAAGGCATACTCAAGATTGGATGCACTCACAGCGCTACAGAGCCAAGTCTCATCTATGTTCCACTCGCCAACCCTCAAAACCTTTGCGCTTGCACCTTGCAAAAGCTTGGCTGCTTCAGCAAACAAGGCTTCCTTGGCACCCGAAGCACTAGAGGCTTCAGAATTCCTGGCACCGGCACTTCCAGAGGGTGCATCCTCAGATATACCCTTCGCTTGAGGCTGGGACTTCGGCTTAGGCTTCGCCTCTGATTTCTTAGGGCTAGGAGGACTCTTGGCACTTGGCGATCCACCCTCTGGCAGCACCTGTCTGAGCTCTGCTGGGACAATCGGACAGTCCGGCCGGTAGTGTCCGCTCTGACCACAAGCCAAGCACCTACTTTGCCTTCTAGCTTTAGCCCTATCGTGCCTGAAAGTACAGCTATCCCCAAAGCGACACCCGGTACCGTCACCAAACCTGAAACACTCAACCGTACTACCAGAACCCTTCGAGGACTTACCCTTACCTTTACCAGCGTCCGCCTCTCCAAATACCGCTGCCACAGTGGGACTCGGCGTCTGAGAAGATGCAGATGTGCTGGGAAGCTTGGGGTCTGGGGCCTTCGCAGCGGCAGCAGCAGCAGCAGCAGCTCTGGCCTTTTTATCCGGAGGAGACTCAACAGTCATGGCCAGAGACTCGCGCTCAGCCTGAATGAGTTTCACTAGCTGCGTAACCCCCGTTACCGACGGGTTGTAGTCGATTGAGCTTTTATGCCTAAACACGCTAACTCGGAACGCCACCATTGGCTGAAGAGCTAGAAGAGAGCTGGTAGCAGCATCTATCCCTTTCAGAAGTAGACTGGGGTCCGGGAGGGTTGCTTGTATCTCCCGTGCCCTGATCAGATCCTGTTGCCATCGCCTCAAACCTGAAATCGCATCCTTAAATGACTTGCATGGATCAGGCTGAACAAGACGCGAAAGGAGGTACGCCCTCTCCGTGCTGCCCCCTGGTTGGTAAACGCAAAGAATCCGATACAGTATGGAAGCAGTTGTCATCCAACGGTTAGTAACTAGCTCATCCTTGAAACTCTGAGGGACACACGACAACAGCAACGATACTGCCCTACTTTCTACGCGCTGGTACTTGACGGCATCATAGTGAGCAACAACCGTGGAGGGATCGAGAGCTAGCCGTTCCAACGGATCTGCTACAAGCCAACGCTGATAGCTTGCATTAGCCGCGCCCTCAACCGAGCTGAACCAAACAGACGCTGACGGCGAAAGCCCCGCGAAAACCTGGCGTGTCTGCGCAAGCCAGTTGCCACATGTTACGGCGCTAGTGGTCAAGTCAGCAGCAGCAAGCTTAGGCAGGTCGATAATGTACTTCGCTGGTTCCTCAGGAAATGCCCCAGGAGCGCTAAAGGACGAGATCCCCTCTGCAACAGTGGGAGAAGACCCTGGAACGCCTTGACTCGGTATCCCCTTTTCCCCACGCGCAAAATCCTCAACGCCAGCCAAATATCCTGGACCCCGGGAACCCCCGGACATCACCCCACATTCAGCAGCATTTGCTCCCAAGTGCCCGGATCCATAAGCCTGAACCCCTCGAGGTGACATTGGGGGAGGCCCTGGCGGAGGTCGGATGACAGTACCACCCGGCGACAGCGGATATCCATCAGAACTGAACCCAGCCAACCCCGAAGCTCCTACGGATCTTGGTGTATGATAGCCAGACTCACCCTGACCCTCCCTTGACGCCAAAGCAAACGAAGCGAACTGTCCCAAAGTCTGAGTCCCTGATCCCCACCCTTCATCCCTTTCAACCAAAGTCCGAAGGGGTACACTGGGCGGCCTAGGGGGTGGTGACCTAATCCCAGGCATAAACGGCACCGAAGTTTCATGCCTAACCCTACAGAACTCGAAACCTTGACCCGACCCACCCCGCTCGGTGGGACTCCCAACCAAAGCTCCACAAGGCGGCGGACACATGCCAGGAGGCTGAGCTACCCTAGCAGTCTCAAACCACCCCCTTGACAATTCAGAACCTTGGAAATCGTTGCCCGGAAACGCACTCGGCATCTGTACAAGACGATTCTCTCGTGGCGCGGCCACGCAACTCTGTACATTCCCAGCGAAAGACATCGGCGAACTGACCTGAGCTTCGAGCGCTGTCGCACAGGTTCCTCCACTCAGGCCGCTTGACTGAGACTCCACCGCTTCCAGTCTCTGCCGCAGAGCAGCATTCTCCTGCATCACTTGCAACATCATCTGTTCCATCCTGGAAAAACCAGAGTCAGGAATGAGCTCTCGAGCGTCTGAAGCTCCCGGTTTCTCACCAGCAAAAGTGCTCGCGGATCCATCCCTCGGATTTGCACCCCGACCCTTGCCAGTAATTTCCCAGCCTCGCCCAGTCTCAGGTTGCACCTCAACTATGCCAGGCTTTTGCTCCTCGGCTTCACCAGACTGCTCAACAGCATGCTCGCCTGCTATCTCCACTCGGGCCAGCTTAGGAGCTCCTCCACGAGATCCATGGCCAGCTAAGCTATAGTCCGGTTCCCTGCCGCCACTCAAAAAGCTCGAATCTCCAAGAGCTGCCTCATCGTAATCGATTCCAGCACGCCTTCCGTCATCATCCAACGTCGCCGGTCTCGATCTGAGAAGCTCCACTTCTGATTTCACCTTCTCAGAATGAAAAGGACTTGCCACAAACAAGTTGGCAGGCGTCTCCGGCTCTGCCGGAACCCCGCCCTGCTCCAACATGCCCGGAGACATTTCTCCTAGACGTACAGGTGCAGGCTGTTGCTCGCTGTCCTCTTGGCCCAAGGCTGCCTGATAATCTGGCTCAGAAGCTCCAGCAGGGACCTCGATATCCCTTCCTCCAGAGCCCCTTCGCTGACGTGTAAAGGAATCCATGGCGTCACAGCACCCGCACTAAGTGCCGGACCCTAAAGAAAAGGCCTATCTTAAAGCTCACAGCCCTAGAACCTACTACGGCTGATAACCTACGTGAAATACAGAACCCTACGGGGACCAGAAAGCTTAGGCAGCCTAAGTCTGAATCCTAGACCCTCGGATCGCGCCTCGATTTTTTCGAACAAAAGACAGCCTCGGTAACGCAACAACGTCTCCACCTGAGCGGCCAGGATGCTTCACGCACTAAGTCCTAAGGACGTTCGAAGGGTTGGATGCCTTCCGAGTCGCCATCTCAGCTCGTCCGAGTGCAGTGAGGCTGAGTCAGGCTGAGTCAGGCTGAGTCTGAGTCAGTGTTGCATGTCACGAGTCTACAGTCTAAGCGAGGCCACAGCTTCTGGAGGCTCGGGGCCGATGGCCAGGGCACTTCTGAAAGGTTCTGAAGGGTGCATTGCTGCACAGAATCTAAGCCGAAGGCGTATTCCCTTCTTGGCGTCGACCCATGCTGCTCCAACACGGAGCTGAAGCATGCCTTTCGTCGTGCAGTCGTCCTACAAGAGGCTTGGCAGCCAGGCAGTCAAGTTTCGGCTGCAAGTTAAATCAGCAGGTTCATGGAGGAACGTGATGGAGGTGGTTTCGAGGTTCATGTATGATGGCAAACTTTTGATCACGATTCGCCGCTTCTGTCATGGCCAGGCAGCTTTCAGATTGACTTTTATTGCGGACCGATGTTCTGTCTCTGAGGATGATGCAGGTTGTGCTCCCTTCCGAGACGTATTGCGTGCCATGGAACGTATTCGGTCCACGCGACAGACGCCCTTGGAGCTGGATATCAGGAATCTGGATTCAGGGACGCATGAGAACTCCCGCAGCTGTCGAAGTTCATTAGGTGCCACGTCGCTGGAGTCTGACTCACAGCTGGCAAGCTTTATCGGTGGAATGGCAGCTCATCCTGCAAGTGGCGTGTCCTTCTGAGCAGGTTTGCTCCTTGAGTTTCACCCACTCGTTGTCATGTTTAGTGAGTTTAGTGCGAGAACGCATCCCGCAGCACCGCTGGCTCCGCTTGTACGTTTGTACATAGGGCATGCGCGCAGTCAAACAGCGCCGTGAAATGCCGTGAATGTACGGGTGGCAAGGTGGTCAAAATTGAATTTCCAGGTCCGCGTAGCCAGGACACCTGCGCCGTACACGTACTTACTCGTACAATAAACTCAAGATGTCTCTTCCTCTTGCTCAGGTCGCAATCGAACGAAGCGTTGCAGCAGTTCTTGAGATTGCGATTGTGACGTCCTCGTCAGGTACAATACCGTGAAGGTCATCGACCAGCAGGTGCTTCCTTGGAGTCGTAGATGTCGCAAATTGAACGTTGCAGCATAGCAGAACGAACTTCTAGAACTGAAACAGGCAGTTGGGGCCATAGGTTGTTCATCGTTCATAGTAGCCACGTTGAAACAAGGTCACCCCGAGAACCCGCATAGATCACGCAAACCCACCGCGACAGATCGCGACAGCATTTTCGCGGTTGACTGTCTACTCGGCTTCTCTCATGTTTTGCAAAAGGTTTCAAAGGCCTTCGCCCCCGCATCCCGCAACGTCCACACGTCCCCGCGGACCACGCGGTGCAAAACCCTATAAAAACCTAACAAACCCAAGCCCCGGTTTTGGGCAAAAAGCGGCCCAACCGACTCTTCAAGCATCATCTACTCATGCTGAGGTTGGGGAGTGGGATGCGGTTGGGGCGTCCCAAAGATTCAATAACATGACATTGATGACCTAGTGCCGGACGCCCGCAAGCATCATGAAGCTTACTTAAACCGAACGAAACTCAGGCCTATACTGCACTGAGCTTGTCCTGAGTCTGCTTCCGCGATGCCACTCCAGCCTCGCAACAAACAAAGGGGAAAGGAATCATCTCTGGTCTTCGGATGTCGGGTATATGCGACTAGGAAGAACGTTGGACACGCATGCGTTTGCATTTGCTGTTACGAAAGCTTTCTCCTTAAGGTGTTGCCCAATATCGTGCTTGGGTCGACACAACCGAAACCTTTCTCAAGTTGTTGCAACCTCGGCCTTTTGCGCAAGTTGCCTGAACACCGTGCGTTGTTGCACTAAGATGGCCACGTTATGCCACGTTGATGTTGCCTCGAGTCGGGAAAAGCGCACGCGCGTGGATCTGCCAGGCGGTCAACTTGCTGGAGATGCTGGCACGTCGTGCGCAGCTCTTTCGGACCAGGACATCGACTGAGCAGGCGAATCTGGAGACACCTGAGTCCCGCCTGCCAGTTTCAGAGCTACTTCAAAGATATGAGCGATCAAGCCCGGGGGGGTCGATGCAAGCTTTCTAGGACTTGTACTCGTACTAGTACTAGTACTACGACGACGACGACTACTACTACTACTACTACTACTACTACTACTACTACTACTACTACTACTACTGCTACTGCTACTGCTACAACTACAACTACAACTACAACCCACAACCCACAACCCACAACTCACAACCCACAACCTACAACCCACAACCAACAACCAGCAACCAACAGCCATCTACCAACAGCCAACTGACAACAGCCAACAGCCAACTACCAACAGCCAACTACCAATAGCCAACTATAAACTACCAACTTCCAACTGCCAACTACCAACTACCTACTACCTACTACCTGCTACCAACTTCCTACTCCCTACCACGAACTACCAAGTACCAACTACCAACCACCTATAGTAGTAGTATGTAGTATGTAGTATGTAGTATGTAGTATGTAGTATGTAGTATGTAGTATGTAGTAGGTATAGGAGTAGTAGTAGTAGTAGTAGTAGTAGTAGTAGTAGTAGTAGTAGTAGTAGTAGTAGTAGTAGTAGTAGTAGTAGTAGTAGTAGTAGTAGTAGTAGTAGTAGTAGAAGTAGGAGCAGGAGCAGCAGCAGCAGAGTAGTAGTAGTAGTAGTAGTAGTAGTAGTAGTAGTAGTAGTAGTAGTAGTAGTAGTAGTAGTAGTAGTAGTAGTAGTAGTAGTAGTAATAATACTAGTAGTAGTGGTAATAGTAGTAGTCGTCGTCGTCGTCGTCGTCCTGTGAGACGGGGTGTCCTGCCCGCACCGTTTCGGGAAGCATCGGGTAAACCTCCTTTGGAGTGCGCAGGCGCGTGCTTTCCGGGCTGTGTGCATTCCCGCACCGGCGCCAATGCGAACGGCGAACTCTGGAATTGGATGTTGAACATGTGGCCGTTTTGTTGTCTTGAAGCTGCTCTTCCCCTTAGAACGGTGGTTTTTCAGCGATTCATGGCTGCAAGAGCTGTCGGTGCAAAAACGCATGTTTTTTTCACACCTCGCCCACTCAGTCTTGAAACGCATCATGTGAGCATTGTGTTTCAGATGGGGGGGGGCTGCGCCCCCCCCCAACCCCCCCGCTTCTTTTTAAGCTTTGCGAAAGCGTGCTTGTCTTGTTGAAACCCGTCCTGTGACCATCGTGTTTGCAAATGGGGGGGGGGGGCTGCGCGCCCCCCAACCCCCCCGCTTTTTTTAGGCGTGCAAAGAGTGCTTCGGAGCCTAAGAAACTTCTTGAAACACATCATGTGAGCATTGTGTTTCACATGGGGGGGGCTGCGCCCCTAAACCCTAAACCCTAAACCCTAAACCCTAAACCCTAAACCCTAAACCCTAAACCCTAAACCCTAAACCCTAAACCCTAAACCCTAAACCCTAAACCCTAAACCCTAAACCCTAAACCCTAAACCCTAAACCCTAAACCCTAAACCCTAAACCCCCTAAACCCTAAACCCTAAACCCTAAACCCTAAACCCTAAACCCTAAACCCTAACAATACTGTTATAAGGTACGAGGAGTGCTTCAGAGCCTAAGAAACTTCTTGAAACGCATCATGTGAGCATTGCCCCCGCTTCTTTTTGAGCTGTGCGAAAGCGTGCTTATCTTGCTGAAACCCGTCTTTGCAAATGGCGGGGGGGGGGGGGGGCTGCGCCCGCCCCCAACCCCCTCGCTTTTTTTTACCCCCGCGCCCCCCCAACCCCCCGCTTTTTTCAGGCCCCCAAACCCCCGCTTTTGTAGGCGTGCAAAGATTGCCTGTGGGCAACACACCCCTCCTGCGCGTAGTAGGTCGTAGTAGTAGTAGTAGTAGTAGTAGTAGTAGTAGTAGTAGTAGTAGTAGTAGTAGTAGTAGTAGTAGTAGTAGTAGTAGTAGTAGTAGTAGTAGTAGTAGTAGTAGCAGCAGTAGGAGTAGGAGTAGTAGTAGTAGTAGTAGTAGTAGTAGTAGTAGTAGTAGTAGTAGTAGTAGTAGTAGTAGTAGTAGCAGCAGTAGCAGGAGTAGTAGTAGTAGTAGTAGTAGTAGTAGTAGTAGTAGTAGTAGTAGTAGTAGTAGTAGTAGTAGTAGTAGTAGTAGTAGTAGTAGTAGTAGTAGTAGTAGTCGTAGTAGTAGTAGTAGTAGTAGTAGCAGCAGCAGCAGCAGTAGTAGTTGTAGTAGTAGAAGTAGTGGTGGTCGAGGTGGTGGTGATAGTGGTGGTGGTAGTGGTGGTAGTAGTAGTCGTAGTGGTGGTGGCGGTGGTGGTAGTAGGTGGTAGCGGTAGCGGTAGCGGTGCGGTAGCGGTCGGGTGTGGTTGGTCGTGGTCACTTCTACCATTACTACCACTACCAGCCACTACTACCACTACTACCACTACTGCCACTACTGCCACTGCTACCACTACTACCACGACTACCACGACTACCATTACTACCCCTACTACCACTACTACCACTACTACCACTACTACCACTACTACCACTGCTACCGCTGCTACCGCTCTACCACTACTACCACTGCTACCACTGCTACCACTACTACCACTCCTACCGCGACTACCACTACTACCACTACTAACACTAGCACGACTAACACTACTACCACGACAGCTGCGATTACTCGCATGTCGACATGGGACAGCCAAGCTGTGTGATGTTGAGTGACTTTTTGGGTGCAAAGCATGTGGCATTGGGGTTGTTCCGTGCAAAAATGTTGCCTGTCCCACCCTGTCCCAGCCAGGTTTCTAAGTGTGAGAAGCTTTCCGCCTTTGACATGGGTGGTGGAGGCAAGGGTGCTTGCTCTTATCATGTGGTTTCACCTAATACTAAGATGCCCCTCCCCCCTTCACCCCCAAATATGACAATGGGATCTTGCGGACCTTGCGGATTTTTTCGGAAAACCCTCGAGGGCTGGGTTCTTGTTTAAGGTGCCGAGGATTCTGGGCGAGGGCCCACAGGACAGTGCTCGACTGTACGGGTGCGCGAGCTTTGGCGGCGGGACCCGCGGGAGAGCGAGCTTTGGCGGCGGGACCCCACTGGACGGTGCGACGGGGGCGAGGCCTTTTGGGCGGAACTCGTACTTGTACCACAGCGCGGGTGACGGCCCCGACTTCTGGGGAGCGTCGAAACCTCGCAAATTACATGCATGCTTTCAGCTTCGTGGTTGTTGTCGAATAGCGTTCTCCCCCGTGCGCATTCATTTCGTGGTGTTTCTGGGGGGAGATCGTTCTCTCCGCCTAGCTGCCGGGTTCCTCGTGGTGTGAATCGCTAGCATCCCGATAACGTGGCGGCACGCGGAATTTCTTCGTTTTGTGCTGTTGGGTGGACTGTGATGCCCCTGGTGCTCCAGGCGTCCTCTGCGTACTACCTTTGTACTACAGAAGTCTTGCCACCAGAGCTCCGGACCTCAGGCCAGAGCTCCGGATGTCCCCAGAAACACCAAAAGCAACGACAGTTTCGCATTTCGCGATTGTCAACATCGCGACTTGCACATTCTTGGTCTGGACGCACGCGCGAACCGTTCTTTCGTGATCCCTGTCCCCATGCGGTCTCTGATTGATTGGGGTCTACGCTGGCATAATTAATTAAAAGCGGGGGATGCCGAGGGTTTAGGGCGAGGTGAGAGGCAGTTCGCGCGGAAAACGCGACTTCACAATTTGCATGTTTGCACCCTTCGTGTAGGAGAACCCGAGGATTGGAAAACATATGACGAATTGTGCGACCATGTGAAAACCTATTAGGTTCGGTTTCTTCATAGGCAAACAGAATTAATGTTGACTTCGCATTAATAAACCCCCCCCCTTCATTCAATCTCTCCGGCCAGGGCCTCCTCAATAATGTTCGCCTAAATCCTGGTAGGTCTAGCTGTCCCGGTGCCACCACAGTGGGCTAAGTGAGCCTCTACTGCGAGCCTCTGGGGATCACTTTTAGAAAAATATTCCGGGTCGGATTCTACAATTGTGGCGGGTTACAATATTGTGTTCCGGCAGCTGGATTTTACAATTGCGGCGGGAATCATTAATGTGAAGTCAACATTACGACGGAGGCCCGAATTTCAAAACCCCAACCCTAGACACTGTTAATTACGAAGTTTGAGGTAGTTTGAGTACACAATTGTCAAAACCACCGCCTAAACCCTGCTGATTGCGCACAGCCGCTTAGGTTTCAGCACCCCCTGATTCCAAGATATGAGGAGTTTATGAGTGGTGGGTTGGGGGAGATTCCGGATTTATGTTTTGATGTTAAGGGGGGGGTGTTTAATTTACTGAACGGGGGGTTGAGGTTGTCTCACCATGGCTGCAGGACTTTGTGCAGGAGCTTCCAGAGGAGCACGCGCATTCGTCCGATCCAGCTACCGCCTGGCTTAGGCCAGCGAGCCAAGCCAAGTCCTGGTCTTGGGGTCGACTTGGTATGACTTAGTCATGGCGATTGCAGTGTTTGCATGGTTTGACTCCGATTGATGTTCATATCGCGATGGCAGGTCTTACCTGTCTTTCGTCAATGATACTTCAGGTGCACAGTGGCAGTGCAGCTAGAACCCTTTTGATGCTGCCCTGCAACTAGGTGAAGAGGTGCACATTCTCTCCAAGCTGTACAGTAACGTGAAGGCATCCTCTTGGAGTTTATCACGTTTTTACCTTGTTCATCTTGTTCAACGGCCACTCGAATCCCTTCTTGGCCAATCGGCTTTTGGGAAGTATCCTTGCGTGTGTTTCCGGTTGCCAGCATTGCCGGTAGGAGTGTCGGTAGGTGCAGACATTGTTTCTGCCTGCGACTTCAAAGCCAGAGCTACAGGCAAGAAACTCGAGTTTGTGAGCAAGACTTACACATGAGCTGCAGTCGCTGTAGTCAGGACCTATCGAAACTTCAATGGACCCAACTCACGTCAGAATTCAAGAAGGCCTCGAGTTGTTGGCCTCATGTGCACCTCGCAGACTCGTAGAATAGAGGAACTTGGAGAGCTGAAGACGCACGTCCTGGCGAACCTGCACGCTCGTTCCTTTGAAGGTGTGTTGGCCTGACAGGGACTCGTTACTGGGGACATCGCAAGTGCAATCCCATGAAGGTGAACCTATGACGGGCCGCACTTTGGAAAGATCGCTGCGATTCATTGTGCAGGCTGGGGGTCGTCAAGGAATGGCATACGACTCATACGAAGCACATCATGATACATCATGCACATCCTCGCAAGAATGCCAGGTAGGCTCGAGCAGACTAAATGCCACACTGAAGTACACGTCATATCTGAGCGCATGATTGTCGGATGTTGCTGGTGATCGTGTACTGACATCGAAAGCAAGGAGCTCTGCCCTTCGTCCTAAATGTCTAGGAGTTGGGCGGTCCGGAGCAGCGGAGAAATTTCTCCCAAACATCAAGCTGCCCGCGCTGTCGTGGCAGCCAGGTTCTATCTTGTGTTCAGAATCGGCAGACTCCGACCCTGGAGGGCCTCCGATATTGAGATTGAGATTTGCACACGCCTTCGCGGTTGTGCAATGTGATGCCAAAGAAACTGTTCCGCGAAGACCCACTTTCGAAACCGAGGTCAGTCAGTTCAGCCGTGCGCATTTCGTGTGCTGCCAGTTTAATTACGTGCCTTTATGCATCCACTCGATGCGAGCAACCCTGCCAAGTTCACAAGCCGAGACAATTACTTATATTCACTTGTATTAGTTCAAAGTTCTTACTTGCAGGCGGAATCGTTGCCATCCTTTTACCAGGGAAGAAATGGATAGGAGGTTTTGGCCACGCCGCTGTCTGCCGTGGCTGCCGATGTTCCAACTAGATTTTGTGTGTGATCGCATGCAGGCCATGCTGGCTACACAGGGTTTTCCTTGAATGGATATAATGACATTTTTGACGGGTAACGCTGTTTAGCACCTGCTGAGCCGGCTATGGCAGTTCAGCAGGTGCCATGCATTCCGCGGCATACATTCACCAGTACTGTAGCATCTTCGAGTGCGCACACTATGCATTGATCATTCTCGTCCCCCTTGGACATTGGGCCCGCCGAACTTGCAAAACAAGGGGGCTCGTGAAGAAAAATGCTCGTCCCGGGTTCATGATGTTTTAAACTATGCTTCATGAGGCTGTGAGCACGAACGCTAGCCAGTCAAAGGGGTGCACATGGTTGCACACCCATCTCAATATGGCCCACCCATCTCAATATGGCATGCTGCTACCCGCCTGGAGCCTTGGGGCTTACTTAAGTTCCAGTTCGGGCCGCTCATTTGGGCGTGCCAAGATCACACGCGGTTTGTCCACAGGATCGAGTTATGCATCCCATTCTGATGCATTTGACTACCTAAATTGCATCGTGTACTGTGCGGCATCAGCTGTGCACCATACTCATATGTGAGCAAGAAGCGGGAGAGAGCCCCACTTTGGAACCCATTCCAGGGTCTGCAGCGGGGCATGTTCCACGAATTGCCGTCATTGTGGACAACCTGGACGCAGCAGGTCGCAGAGATGTCGCTGCAGGAGCTGAGTGCCCTTGGGGTCCTGGAGTTGTGATGTTTTTTTCTTTGTTCGCACATGGGAAGGATGCGGATACCTGGTTTTCGTCGCTGTTGTCCAGCATTGACCACGGCGAGGAGCCACATAGAACGGCAGTCTTGAAGATGACGCAAAGAATCATGCACATGATCATGCCACGGGCACGGCTTTTCACGGATTTGCACTGACAAGGACCCCATTCCAGTGCGAGACTTCACCAACAAGGCAACGCTCTCTAGAGAGATGGACTCTGCCGCAGAGTTGGCACTCTTGGCATCTCTTGGCACGCTGCTGCCGGTCACAAGCACGACGGATGTTTGGAGTGAAGTTGCAGCACGCAGAAGTCTCGAGGTGGAAGATGCAAGAAGCAAGTCAGTTCAGCACCTGTCTGAGACAAAACCATCTTGATGGGATTAGTGCAAGAATATATGTTTAATTTGAAGCACAGGTTCTACATGGAACTTCTGCGAGACTTCGATGTGAGCCGGAGGGCTCAGACTTTAAGCCGACATCGGGAACCGGAAGTTTTTTCTGTGAGAAGCGAAGGTCGTTTCTCTCGTTGTGCACATGCTGCAATGTTTTTGAACGAACGCAACATTCCCGCTAAGGCCCCGACATACCGGAACTTCGGAAACGTTTGGCGCTTGTCTTGTCCATGCAGCATTTTGCAGTGTGCAGATCATTGAAGCTCTTTGTGGTTTCGGACATCTGATGCCCAGATTTGTCCAGAGAGCGGTCGAGAGCATCTAAGAGTTGCATGTAGCTGCACCAGATTGCACTGGTCGCTCTTGCGTGCTTGTTTGTGCCTGTTCTCATATACAATCGGAACTTAATTATGCGTGTTTGATGTTGCCAACAATCTCGACATGTTGATTCATTTTTTTTGCAGTGCTGTAGCTGTAGCATACTTTCGCATGTCACGAACACATTTCGAGATTCGCTCTGCATCTCGGTATCAGTCTTCTTATTAGAAACATGGCCGGTTGCTGCGGCTGCATCGGCAGCTGGAGCCGTCACACGAAAAAATCGAACGGACGCGGCTCTCGAGCCGGAGTTCCAAACTGAAACCTTTCAGATGCACATACAAAGATACGTCCACATAGCAGCTGTCCCAGGCCTCCGTTGTCTCAACATCCAAGTCCGAACTTGTGAACCTTTTCAAATGCCGCGAAATTGGGCAGTCCTCCGCAAGAATCCCCAGATTTTTGCCAGACAAATGAAGAGTGGAAGATGTTCAGAAGCTTGTGTGAGCTGAAACAGCACTCAAGGGCCTTAGTGTCCGATGTATCGGAGATTTAAGTTGGGGGGGGGGGGGGCGACTGCCTGCCCCCTTTGGTGTCCGTCACAAAGCGATGCCTTGGATGTTGCGCAACCTAAGGGGGGTCGGGGTGGGGGCGGGGGGGGAGGGTGTGTTTCTCGATAAGGTAGGGGGGGGTTCCCCCACCCTTGGGGCCGCCCGCCCCCCCCCCACCCCCCTCCCACCCCCCCCCCCCCACCAGTTGTTCTCGCACATGTGCCGTTTTGAATCGTACAACGCAAGCTCAACTAGGATGTACTTTGTTTGATGCCCACATGTGCTGTCTGGATGCGTGCAATCAAGCTCACATAAGATGTACTTCATTCGATGCCCATGTGCTGTCTTCATGCGTACAACACCAGCTCACACCGGCCTTGTGCTGGGGAACTAGCTTTCGTTCGCCCTGCTCTCAAGTTCTACGTTGCAAAACCAACAATGCCCGAGCAAATGGCTCTCACGGCCAACAACGAGCAGCACGTGGGCCTTTTTAGCCATGCCAAGCTGCATGAGTCTGCATCGTTTTGACAAGAAAATCATCCGGATCCAGGGACTTTTATCATGAGGCCACGGCCACGGCGGATCCGTACTAGGCAAGCAGCAATCTACCCGCTCGGCACCATCCAAATCCAAATACGGATCCGCACAAATACGATTTGAGCCTTTGATTTCGTACACATCAAGCGAAATCAGGGTTTCATTCCGACCTCGATGCAGACCAAGTGCGTTTGCTCATGAATCGAGTATTGAATCGTCTCTTGTATTTTGGTTGCACCAATTTGAGAGCAAGGAATGGCGGTGCACTTTCAGCACAAGCTTCTTGGCTGATTGAGAGCTAGACAGCACTTCTACTTCTAGCCTCGACAGGACGTTTCATTTCTCAACCTTCTTCCTTCCCTGCGGTAATTTCGCCCTGCGCGCGCAGGTTGTGCTATCAGTCAAAAGCCTTTATTGTGCAGGGGACGTATTTGAGCTACACACAACTGACGCAAGTCAGCTCAGCAGTCACAGCAGCAACTGACCACAAGCCGCTTCTTCGTCCGCTGCGTCCAGTCTGGGTATGGCGGCAACGAACATGGTTACTACTGTGTCTCCTGCAGGCTTCTCTTGTACCACGAGCGAGTGCAACGATGGACAAGCGAAGCCATCGAGCCCCTGTCACGCTTGTGCTTCACGTCGCACTGGCTGGATGCCTGGATGACTGCCTATGTCACGTTATGTCACGTTGCAGGCTCACGAAAAGGAAGGCTTTGGCAAGCTCCTTGCAGAGCGTGAACTGCCTTTTGATCCGGACAGCAGTTGCTGATAGTGCACATTGCACATTGGTGCCTGTCAGTAGAGCGAACTCACAGAAACAAGGATGTCATGTTGAGACCTGGGCTGTGAGGATCTGTTCAGAAAGAGTGGCATGGTCCTCGGAGTCCTCGGTATTTGAACGGAAGTAGGGCGTGCGTGCGGGCGTGCGGGCGTGCGGGCCCGCGTGCGCGCATGCGTGGGTGTGGTGGGCCTCTGTGTGTGTGTGTGTGTGTGCATGCGTGGGTGTGGTGGGTGTGGTGGGCCTCTGTGTGTGTGTGTGTGTGTGTGTGTGTGTGTGTGTGTGTGTGTGTGTGTGTGTGTGTGTGTGTGTGTGTGTGTGTGTGTGTGTGTGGGTGCGTGCGTGCATGCGTGCGTGCGTGCGGGCGTGCGGGCGTGCGGGCGTGCGGGCGTGCGTGCGTGCTGCGTGCGTCGCGCGTGCGTGCGGGCGTGGGCGTGCCCGCGTGCGTGCATGCGTGGGTGTGGTGGGCCTGTGTGTGTGGGTGTGTGTGTGCGTGCGTGCGTGCGTGCGTGCGTGCGTGCGTGCGTGCGTGCGTGCGTGCGTGTGTGGTGTGTGTGTGTGTTGTGTGTGTGTGTGTGTGGTGTGTGTGTGTGGTGTGTGTGTGTGTGTGTGTGTGTGTGTGTGTGTGTGTGTGTGTGTGTGTGTGTGTGTGTGTGTGTGTGTGTGTGTGTGTGTGTGTGTGTGTGTGTGTGTGTGTGTGTGTGTGTGTGTGTGTGTGTGTGTGTGTGTGTGTGTGTGTGTGTGTGTGTGTGTGTGTGTGTGTGTGTGTGTGTGTGTGTGTGTGTGTTGTGTGTGGTGTGTGTGTTGCGCTCGCGTGCGTGCGCGCGCGTGCGTGCGGGCGGGTGGGCGGGCGGCGTGCGGGCGTGCGTGCGGGGCGTGCGGTCGGGCGGGGGGGGTGTGCGTGTGTGTGGGGGCGTGCGTGCGTGGGGCGTGGCGTGCGTGGCGGTGCGTGCGTGCGTGGGGGCGTGCGTGGCGTGGTGCGTGGGCGTGGGGGCGGGCGTGCGGGGCGTGGGGCGTGCGGGGTGGGCGGGCGGTGCGTGCGGGCGTGTTGGCGTGCCGTGTGTGCGGGGGGCGTGCGTGTGTGGCGTGGGGGCGTGCGTGCGTGGGGCGTGCCGTGCGTGCGCGTGGCGTGGGCGTGCGGCGTGCGCGTGTGGTGCGGTGCGCGTGCGCGTGCGTGCGCGGGCGTGCGCGGGCGGCGCGGGCGGCGTGCGCGTTGTGCGCGGCGTGCGCGTGGGTGCGTCTGGCGTGCGTGCGTGTGGTGGGTGGGTGGTGCGGGGTGTGTGGTGCAGTGTGGTTGCGTGTGTTGGCGTTGGTGTGGGTTGTGGGTGGGTGGGTGTGTGTGGGTGGTGGTTGGGTGGTGGGGGGTTGTGGGTGGTGTGGGGTGTGTGGGGTGTGTGGGTGGGTGGGGTGTGGTGGGGTGTGGGTGGGGGTGGGTGGTGTGTGGGTGGGTGTGTGGGTGTGGGTGGTGGGTGTGGTGTGTGGGGTGTGTGGGGGGTGTGGTGGTGGGGGGTGGGGGTGTGGGGGTGTGGGGGTGTGGGTGTGGGGGTGTGGGGTGTGGGGGTGTGGGGGTGTGGGGGTGGGGGTGGGGGGGGTGGGGTGTGGGGTGGGGGTGTGGGGGTGTGGGGGGGGGGGGTGTGGGGGTGGGGTTGCGGGTGTGGGTGGGTGTGGGGGGGGGGGTGGGGGTGTGGGTCTTGGTGTGTGTGTGTGTGTGTGTGTGTGTGTTGTGTGTGTGTGTGTGTGTGTGTGTTGTGTGTGTGTGTGTGTGTGTGTGTGTGTGTGTGTGTGTTTTTGAGTGTGTGTGTGTGTGTGGTGTGTGGCTGTGTGTGTGTGTGTGCGCGTGCTGATTGTGCTGATTTAGGAAAGAAGAATCCGCAAGACCGTGGGCGACTTCGTTCCAAGCTTCAGGCCAAGACAGCGATCGAGTTTGTGAGTCATTTGCCTGGATGCTGACAAGCATGTTCAAAGCATTTCCGAGACCTCCCCCCAAAATCCCACGCAATCAGGAAATGTCAAATTAAATATCTCAACGATCAATCTATGACGAAGTAATTAGAGGAGATTCTATTACTGCTTGCTTGCACTTGCTTTGGCTGGGCAATAGACGTGAACTGCGCTGCTAGCGGTTTTCTGTGTAAAATTTTAAAAGCTTCAAGCCCTTGCAGCTGTCTGCAGGTCTTCTCCGCTCGGGGCAAAGTCCATTTCATGGCAACCGAAGCCCTAAGTCTATCCTAAGTTAAGTTGAGCTCTGCTTGATCAGTCCTTTGTTTGCAGGCAGCTTCGATGCCGGCCTTTGGCAGGTGCGATATTGAAAGACGTATAGGGGTGGCGTGTGAGCAAAGGCCCTCTGCTGTGCAGTCATGTGTACAACATGTCAGTAGACAGTTTGCTGGTTCTCAAAAGTCGGAGGATCCTCCAAGCCAGCTCAGCATCGACTTGCACACAATGCTGGGTTGATCCGGCCTAATTGTCTGACAACGCTGTTTTAACACAGCATCACTTACGTCCTTGCATTCACCGTATGTGTGGCTTGGAAGTCAGATGTGAGGCGCTCGTGAGCTGGAGAACGAGCGCGAAATCATGCAGTACTTTAAAGCAGCAGTGGCGGCCGCTGACGAGCTGCAGACCGCCCAGACTAGCTTAAAAACTGAAATTGAATGTCATGTCGCAGCAAACGGCCGTTTGGAAGCTTTGACCGCGAGTTGAAGCTGGTGAGCAATAAGCTGTTGGGAAAAGTCTCAGCTTAAGGCCCACGAGAGGGATGGAGACATTCGCATGGAGAGAGCTGCGTCTCGAAGCCTTCAGAAGTTACGTCCCGAACTCGTTTCCCGAAGTGGCTTTTGGATCACCACCGCGAACCCATTCAGTGCTGCTATGGGGGAGCCTCATGCTTGTTCATGCTTGCTCGCTCGTCAAAGTCCATGTAAAACCTGTTAGCAGGTCTCTGCTTTGTGTTTGCTGCGTCTCTTTTCACTTTTCAGTGTAGTGCGGTTCTCAATAGACTCGATGATACTCGATGCGAAATGCCGAATGCAAAAATAGCAATTCGAGGAGAGAAACAGGTTGTCTAAAGATTCTCGCACTTCCAGAACTGCTCGGAGGAGGTGCAGTCCATCGTGCAGTCTCGCTGCTGGCAAGCTTTTGAAGACAAGCTTGCCGGACACAAGTGGCAGGTGTCTCAGAGCCATCTGAAGTTTGCTGCCGAATCATGCAAGTTACTAGTGGCCCTGTGCGCGTGTCATGAAGATGGGCTAGTCTCCGATGTTTGGGGTCATTCGGCTTTCGAAGCATGCGTGAGACCGGTGCATTTTGAATCTTGCGCTGTACCATCCTAGGGCGTGCTGACCTGTGCATGGCTTGCTGCGGGGTGTTGCAGGATGAAGCTGCTGGGCCACCACAAAACGTTCTTTCCTGAGAGCAATCTTGCATTGCATGCGCGGAGAAAAGAAGCCAATGCCTGACCATGGTGGTTGAAGGCACAAAGCGTTGGTCCAAACAGAAACTTACGAGAACAGGATGACAAGGCAAGGCTTCAACATACTTGGCCGACTTTTCATGCGGGCACCGAAAAGTAGAGCTTGCACCGCAGGTTCACAGCAGCCAACGACCAGCGGCTTAGCGCACACTTCCGCACAGCCGGTGGCCTTGGCAGGGTGCGAGAACAGCACTGTTGCAATATGTTGAAATCTTGAATCTGTTGAAGGGAATTGCCACTGAATTGCTTGCCTAGGCCTTAGAACGATGCGTGAGCTCGTACAAGACGCGGAAGACCAACTTAGCGATGCCGGTGCTCCTTGCCACACTTGCAACGTACAAGCCTGGTCGTTGATGTGCACAAGTTATCACAAGCTGGTTTGTCCATGGCCCACAAGGACTCCCCAAGCTTCAGCTAATTTCTACACTTAACATGTTCGGCCGTTCTCCATCATCAAGTTTCCTCTTCCAGATTCTTCCCACTCTCCCCTATTCTTCAAGTCCTTGTAGAGTTCATCAGAGTTCAGATTCGCCTGCCAGGCGTCGGAGTCGGACCTCACGGCAGAGCACAGGCATCACTCGCATTCTCGATGGAACCGCAGTGGCATTGTTTTGAAGTCTGTACTGTTTAGTTCATGGCAGCTAGTGAGAAGCACCAAGGGAAGTAAACATTTTAATGACATAATTACAAGCTCTGGCCACGCTTTGATGTTGGATGTTGGCGGCGCTGTGACAAGTTGTGGCTGCGTGGCTGTCCACTTGATGAAATGGTTCCTGCAGCAAATTGTAGCAAGCTCCAAGAGGCATCAGCAGGCGCAAAGATGCGCAAAGGTCACGAGATGTCACGAGCATAATGGGATATACATGGATATATCAGGTTGCAGGGCTGCAAAACTCAACCCAGGTCTTCAGCATATTTGAACGCGGTTCTCTTTTGCATAAGAGAGGCAGCTGGCAGCAAGCGTTCGGGAGATGCTCGATGAGCAGGGACCGGGGCTCGGAAAGTTCGGAAAGTGCTAGAGGGGGAAAGCATCCGTGTGTGCATTGTGGATGCATGCAGGCATTGGACGCAGAGTAGAGGAAGGAGGAGAAGAGAAACATGCATGAACGATCATGAACGCATTCCGGAGCATTCTGGATTCTGGACATTTCTGAAGTTTTGGCTTGTACATCATCCAATAGTTGGCTCCGAAAAGATACACACTGCAGGCCCTTGTGTCATTCGAGGCACATCCACACCTTGAAGGAACTTTCCATAACTTTCCAGTGTTCCGTAGGCACGCAAGCTCACGTAGCTAGGTTTTGATGGCCCGTCTTTTCCAGCCTCGAAGAAAAGCTGAAAGATATTTGGAACCTCAAGCGAATGTCACGGTACCAGCGGCTGGCCTGGGCTTTTGGCTGCAGCATGCCTTGCTGTTGCTCAGTTGTCACAATTTCTTGTATGAATCTAAACTTGAAACTCCTACCATTGGATTGCTGCGGCTCTAGCCTAGGGCCCCCCTCTTTCCATACTGCGCACCCTGCAGGTTGAGCACCTCAACCCTACGTCAGGTGCTTGTGGTCACTGCGCTCCACCAATACATCCAGGGGTGATGGGAGTTAATCCCACGGGCACGTGCGCGCTACTTACGCTTACGCTGGCTTTTGACATCTTTTGTGACATTTGCCACATCCTCGGTGCTCTTTTGTGCGACGGATACGCTTCTGTTGAGGGGTTTGAATGTCAGGCTCTTGCTGTTGTCTTGCCAGCCACCTGGCTTGTGGTTTTGGTTGCGGTTGTTGCGTTTTTCCAGCCCTCAGCTATCCTCCTCGCCCGCGTCGTCGCTTCGAGTGTCTATCTGAGCATCGGACAAAACTAATGCAAACCCAATCTTGTGCTGACATTGCATGCCTTCTGTTTTGTTGGTATTTTCCTCGGAAATCGATAGGGGCCCCACACAAAAAGAATACCCCTAGAATCGAAGAGATGCTGTATCTGTCAGGGTGCTAATCTTCGAAAATCGATGAGGGCCCACCAAGCAAGTTGCACAACGTTCGGTGAACACACGGTTTTGTCAGTCGCTCATTTCAGAGAATCCCTGGAGTGTCCATCCCGCAGAGTATCCTTTGGAGATCTCTGGAGTCAACCTAGCCGCTAGCCTCATAGAATATTGCAGAGACTTGCAGAGTGCCCACCCGCAGAATAATGGCTCATAATCGCTTGCAGTCAGCCCACGGCTTGGCTGTCGACTGTCACGATACAGATGCCTCTTGTAAGGTTGATGAAGAGCATACAGCCCTCCACTCCTGTCGGCTTTTGTCCAGCTCCCATACCTGCGGACTTCCTGAAGGGGTGGTAGACGTTCAAGGAAAGCCTCTCCAGGCATCTTCCCGGACGAACAAGGTTTTCACCGAGGTGTCAAGCACTACCTGTACCGGTGTGCCCTCATGTGCCCTCAGTCTGGGATCCAAGGTCGAGATCTTCAGGCCTGCATCTGAGCAGGATTTGGCAGCAAAAGCAGCACCTTTACCTTTGAAGCTAGCCGTAGCGGCGATAACGTTGAGGATACCGATGCGCACCGTGGTGCCTTGAGAAGTCCCGATCTGAGCTTCGCTCCTTATGAAAGTCACGCAGCACCAGGCAATACCGGGCACATGACATCGCACCGAGAGGCCTGGAATCAGTTCTGGACGAAGGTTTCGTGCACATCAAGCAAAAGAACATCGAGCTTTGGAAGGCATTTTGTCCAATCACCGGCGCAGTTCGTGTTCCTTGACGTCCGGAAGCTGCTGAATTAGATTGAAGCAGCATTTGGAGTCCGCTGAGTTCCCTTCTATAGATTGCCATGAAACTTCAAAGTTGCTGAACATGTGGTACAAGATGTACAAGATTCATTCCCAGCCTCGAAGCATAGCTGTCGGCCCAAAATTTTAAAACCTGACTGGACAATCAGGTTGATGCCTTAACACTCTGAGGACACAGCAGAGGATTACCGCTGCAAATCACTTACGCGCAATCCGGGTCGGCAGTGCAGCAGCCGGTGGTCATGGTCGGAAGCTGTAGAAACAGCATGAAACAACAAGACTAGGAGGCGCAGGGCTTGTTTGTGAGTGAGTGTATTTCTGTGTGCGCATCATAGTCATCGTGCGGAAATGTCGCCGCGTGCAAGCATGCCCTTTAGCACGGACCAGCGCGAAGGAGTCGTCGTGATGCGTGCACGTTTGCAATGCGGGGCTACGATTGCAGACATCAACAATGCATCACACGTGCCCACGGTCCCACACCCACCACAGACACGGAACAGGTCTAGATGGAAGGAAAAAGTTGCTTCCGGGGTCTGCTGCAAACGCAGCAAAGAACATGTGAAGGTTCAGCATGAAGTTGTTCCCGTTCTCAGAGCGGGATGTGATATGATGTGACATGATGTGGCCATTTGTCAAATGATTCGAAGCAGCATTTCATGTTTTCATGATTTGTCATGTTTTCTTGTGCATCTCTCCAACACGCAGCATATCGCTGCATCATGTGCCGCACCGGTGAGAGGTCCACTCCGATGAGGCAACGCGTTGTGCATTGAAGGAGAATCAGGCTGCATCGTTCTCAGACCTACGGCGATTCCTGCTTCGCATGTTCTTTACCATGTATTTGTCGGCGGTGAGCGAACCACCAGGCTGAAAAGAACTGTCGATATTTCTGTTTATTTACTCGGGCCACATCCTTAATGTGCTCGTTTTGCACAGAGACGCTTTGCGCAGATGGCTCAACAGATTCAGACATGTGGGCATAGCAAAGGTTCCGATGGTGCACAAAGCCAACTCCCGCAAACACCTGCTTCACTGCCTGTCAAGATCCAGTTCAGCGCCCAGTACATTCAGTCGTGACAGGTTTGTTTTGTTATTTGCTGACACATGGGCACCTGCTGTTTTCCCTGCCATCCTTTTCACCTCTCGAGTTGTCTTTTGCTTTGCTAAGCTACTCCTTTCACATCTTCATCGCAAGGTCTGTGATGGAAGACTCTAGTGAATCTAGTGGTGACACGGCAAGCGAGTTTTGTGAACTGAATCTCTCCCAAATTTATTCAAGCGCAGAGTTGCTGCACAGCTAAAAAATGAAAGGATTGCGGTCATGATGGCGTGCTGTTTCTGCAACACGGCTCAGTGCCATTGCATGTGCGCAGTTGCTCCACTCTGTTTGTTTTCGCTTCTCCGAATGTTACGATTGCTCGCTTTGTAGTTCTGAGTAATGATGCTATTTAGGTTTACCATGCCCATTCTCTTTATTCTGCTGGTCTATAGTTTTTCTTTGTGTGTGTGTGTGTGTCATTGTTGTGCGTTTAGCATGTTGCTGTTGCTGTTCCTATTTTTGTCAGATATGGTCAGTACTTTAAATACTGCCGTTCGTGCGTTGTTGTTGCTGCCTTTGCCGGTGTATGGCTTTTCCTGTTGCTAGATCTGTTTAATGTGGTTATCGCTACCCATATGTGTTGTTGGTTTTTCTTCGTTGTTTCCGTGAAAGTTCTGGCGTTGGAAGTTACTAAAAGAAACAAAAAAAGATCCAGTGAACAAAGTGAACGACAAAGGCTGAAGATTGTCTTTACTGGGGATTTTTCTTGTAGCCCCAACAGTAGTGACATATCCATCAAGCCTGCGGTAATATAACATAAGAAAGACCAACCGCTGAATCTTGACAGGTTCTCTTGTTCTTGAAGCATTCATAATATAAAAAATGGCCTCGTTTGCTGGAAAGAATGAATGAAGTGATCAAGGAACGCACAATGTGAGCACCAGCAGTCTTTATAATTGTGCACACGAAGACTCTAAATTATTATCAAATTCCCTGTCATTTCATTAGTCTCAAGATTAAAGAATACAGAGTGCACTAATGATACAAAGTACAGATGAGTTTTGCTCGTGTATGATGTGCGGTTCCGAAAAGGTTTGCAGATTCGGCAGCTTGTGAAAATTTATCCGTCATCTAATCATTACCAATCCTACGTAGCGCACATTTGGCCGGCGGGTCCTCAGGAAGTGCTCTTCGCATTTTTTGTCTTTTTTGTCTATGTCTGAGTCCCTTTCGTGTTCGTGCCATACCCACTCCTTCTCCACCTTCCGTTAGCTTTGTATTGCCATTCCCCGCCTCCGCAAGGTACGGGAACCCGGATGTCGCAAAGCATGCAGAACCAGGTCGGTGCGCTGCTGTTCCAGTTGACCACGCGTCTTTTACACCAGCTTCGAAGGACCCTGGTAGCCTTGTTGATCACCTCCCACTTGTGGATAAATAAATCATCCAGACTTTGAGATTGAGCTAGTTTCAAAGGGCTTTCCCTGCATTGCAAACTCTCATCATGTCTATTCTAGCAGAAGCATGAGGATTGCGAGCCATTTGCGCACGCCGCACAAGTGCTTTGAATTACGGTGCAGTAGCCTGATGAGTTCGGATGTGACGTCGAGTCAAGCTGACCAAGTGCCGCGCCAGGTTTTCGAGGATTGGTACAACAAGGACCGATCTCCATTCCCTGCTGGCACGGAAGAAGAACACAGCCGAAACGATCTGCAGGACTTGGCCCATGATGCAGCTACTGTATGGACCAACTTCTACCTTTTCCTCGGTACACCGATCATAGGCAGGCTCCGAAGAGCCACCTCGTTTTGTTCTTTGTTCCTTTGTTGCAGCCATGATTTGTTCTTCAGAGCTGATCGGTCCCTTTCCTGCAAGGGATCCTGGTCTTGTGCTTCATCAGCGGTTGTGGACGCTCGTTCAGGCAGACGACTGAGTCGGACTTTTTTGCCGTACGTTGAAAATTTGTTACACCTATCTCTATATATATATGTATATATTTATTTATATTTATTTATATCAGCGGCCGCTCCCAAACTGTCCGCAGACTTCAACTTAGCCCGGCTTTTGATGGAAAGCGTTAAAACCCACCATCGATGCAATAGTACAGCGAAACGCCTTTAAGTCCAGTCCCTGGTTACAGGATTTTTAAGGAGTTTGTTTGACATCTGGGCCCAATCGAGGATGAACAATTGAAGATCGAAGCTCTTCCAATAAGTCATCAAATCCGTGCAAACTCCGCAGGTCCAGAGAGTTAAAGTCTCAAATGCAGCTGTTGAAGCGGTCTCAAGGACAACAGAAGATTCCCGTGAACGTTTTATGCCCTGTAGTTAATCTTGCTCATCGGCAGCTCAGTCATGCTCAGTGGGGAAAATATGCTCGCAGCAGACTGTGCACTTTGAACACCAAGTAGGGATTATTTGATTTTGAACGTTCTCGTCAGTTCTCGTCACCAGAAGAGTAGTCTCCTCCATGTGTAGTAACTGTTCTTAATTTGCTTGTAACGCAAGGCTCTCCGGTGCGCTGTCGCCCCTTCAAAACATCACAACACCATCAAACAACAAACTACAACTTTGTCGGCAAGGCCCCAGCCTCCGCCGACCTCAATGCCAACTACCTTCTACAGCAATGCGTTTGGACCTCAGTTATCCAGAGATTGAACGGGGCAACTGCGCCAACACGTCTTGCGTTGGTGTTAAGCCAAATTACTGCGCCAACACGACTTGCGTTGAAGGCAAACCAAATTGGCTTGACATTGGGTACGAAACATCAGTGATTTGCAGGCTCTTCCAGAGCCTTACAGCAGAATCGCAACAGTGAATCGCATCTCGCAGGGGAAGGAGGAGGGAAGAAGGGAGGGGGGCAAGACTAGGGAAAGGAGGAGGGTGGGGGAAGAGAAGAGGGGGGGAAAGCCCCGCCCATCGGTCGTTCAATATAGACTGGGAACAAAAACCAAAAAAAGCCCAGAATTGCCCACAGCCCAAACGCTGAACCCTCAAGCTCATGAATCCTTCACATAGTAAGTGCTGACTCAACTTTGTGGAAAGATCTAGAATCACACTGCATACCTGGCAACATGCTGACCATTGGCATTGGGGTTCTGAAGCTACGATAGATGTGACAACAGGAGGATTTTGAAGCTGTCAGGGCATGCACCATAACAGGATTTGTCAGCATTGTGCATAATGTATTACGCGCATCCGCACATGTAGAAAGCCTGGCGAAGCTTAGTCTGTTTCGGGGCTTAGGGTTAAGAACAGCTGTCCAGGGGTCGTTCGGTGCATTGCGGAGCTTAGCAATTCCCAGCTTGTGAGTTTTCGGTTCCCTCACAGAATCGAGAATGTAGTGCTCTCTGATGCTTTCGGGCTGTGGCTTCACGTGGAGGGGTCCTCATCATCGTAAGGGCTTTAGAAGCTTTGCCGTCCTTACAAGATTCCTAGCGGTTTGGGGTTTGGACAGTGACAGGGTTCCCAGAAGGTCCAAGTGGTCCTGAGAGCACCAGGGTCAAACATGACTTTTGTGCTTGTGCCTCAGGGCGAGTGACCCAATTCCCAGCAGATGGACAGGAAACAGGAGGTCCGGACGAACTTCCGATGCCCCCCCAGTGCATCCATCGATTCCAACCGTTTCTTCTGATCTTGCTTGGGACTGGACTTGCAGCTTGATTTGCTATACTATTGCCACGTTATCACATGTTGCGCAAAATTTACGAAACTCCAATCTGATTTTATCTTTCTGCCACGGCAAGATATTCGTCAGTGATCGTTCTTTTTATTGACATCTGGTTGGGTAGAGTCTGATGCTCAAAATCATTACTTGTGATTGGGTGTTTTCAAGGATTCCGAAGATAGTGTGAGTGCTCGATGATGAAGTAGAAGACCGCTTCTACAAGAGCCTGTTTTGAAGCTTTGCGAATTTTTGAGGTTTCGTGAAGTTACACCTTGTATAGTTAAGATCGCATCTTTCTTCTTGCTTGTTCACATCAGCTCAAGTGTTGGCGGAACAACTGAGGCAGTACGTCCCGGACCCTTGGCGCCGGCACAGCTGAGTGAGGCGGGTAGCTTGTGCGTAGAGGCTTAGCTTCTTGCAAGATCCGTTGTAGAAGTGTCCTAATGTGTACAGTGTGTACGGTCCGTGTACTGTCTACGAATTGGCGTCGTGTTGATTCGGATCTTGCAAGTTCGCGCAGAAGATAGCTGTGCGAAGTGCCTGCCCATTTGGTGTCAAGGTCCCACTCGTGCGCACTGCGACTTTACAGAATCGACACGCCATTCAGCCACCCCAGTGCTGCTCCTCTTCATCCCCATCCTCACTTTGCACTGCAGAAGGAAAGGTGTACACTTGTACATATTCGGGCGCATCAGCAAGGCGCTGAATTGAAGGCTGCATGCTGGCGGTGGCGCCACAGTGCCTTCAGTTTGCACACAGGGGGGACTCATGTGAAAGTACTTGTTGCTCATTGTTTGCTGGCTTTTGTAAGACTGTAAGAAGCTGCAATTGGAATTGACTCCATATTTTTCTTTGGTAGTCAGCTGAATCGATTTCTCCAAGCCCTATTCGCTGCTCTTGTCAAGGCTGGAAGATTGATCTAAATAGGATCCATAGACCGTTCAAGGTGCAGACTGTGTGAACACAGCATCCGGTTCTCTGCAAACGGTAAGGGCTTCAGACGAAGGAAAATGCAGCATCTCAAATATGGCCCCGACGCTTTCTAAGTGCAACATCTCACTGCGCGCTGCAAGCGTGTGTATGCATTGAATTCATGTAAAAGACCCACAGTTGTCCGGTTAACTTTGAGAGCCGTTCGAAGAAGATAACTGCAATCGGTGCAATGTTTGGTGCCATGTTGGCCATGTTGGGAGTCGGAGGTGATGGCTGGCCTGAGGAGCCGGACATGCCTTTTTCTGCAGATGCCCCGCCGGTGCCAACATATTCGATTTGCCTTACACTCCTGTGGCCGATGCCCGTGTTCATCTTCTGGCTTTTGGACTTTCTTCTAACTCGCAGGAGACGCACTGTGCGTGAATCAGGCACAGATATCACGGATATGAGCAATGCTGCACAACTGGCACAACTCTTGATTCTGCGGGATGAAAGTGCGGAAGGGTCCCAGGATGTTCCTTCACAGAATGCCTTTGCGCGAGAAACACGGCCTGGCTTTTTTCCAGTGATGTTGGCATCGCTAGAGCATTCACTTCCACACCTGGCAAAAGGTCGCGCAACAGCTGGAGGGTTGGGGAAAGTTGTCGATCTCATTGCCAGAAAGCATCCATCCGACATACTGCTGGTTCATCCCATGCTGAAAGAGGAGGATGGGAAACTTCAGTATGGGCAGCCTTACGAAGAGCAAATGCCGCTGCGACTGCTGATCGAGGGCGAGCACTACAATGTTCGCGTGTACAGGTTCGTGCCACCAGATCATCCAAGGATAGCGGATGTTCATGTTGAATTCCTCATGAATCTTGGACTGTTTTAAAGCTGGCTAGCTAAACCGAACAATACCGATATGCAGATATGCAGGATTACACATGGCAATAGGATTAGATGAAGTTGGGCGATGCGAGATGTAGGTCACAATGTTTTGCATGCTGCTGTGCATCTTGCCGTGCATCTTTTCTTTCTGTGCATCTTCGAGCTCCCTCACGCTGCTTTTTGCCGGCGTAGCTGACATAGCTGAGGCTGTCCCATGAAATTTTTCAATCCAGGACCTTGGATGGCAACTCAGAAGCGAACAGACAGTCAGACAGTGTCGAAAACGTTTTTGATTTAAACTAGGATGCGAGAGACTGTGAGAGACTGCTAGGGTGAATGCTTGCGAACGCCCCTCTACCTGTTCTATTCTGTATGGTCCAGGCATCTATCCAAATCCTTTGTCGCGGAGAGCAGTCCTCAAGTTCTTCTCATTGTGGAACCAAGCAGTCGGAGCTTTACTGGCTCGACACAAGCCGCGCGTCTTTCATTGCCCAGATTTCCACTCTGCTATTGCACCCTGGTATGCTTTACCGGAGCATCCAGACTTGAGGATTTTGCTTGTGCTGCACAATGCTGAGTACCAAGGCACGATTAGCACTGACATGATTTTTGGACGCAGGCTCGCTGCCATAGCATCCCTGTTCAACCTGCCCCCTCAAATGGTGAAGGATCATCTTGTTCTGGACGGACGGTTCAACATGCTCAAGGCAGCTGTTGACTTCGTGATGGAGAAGCAAGATGGCCGAGGTGTATGTGCAGTGTCCCACTGGTACGCAGCTGAATGTCATGCGAACTATGGTGTCCTATGGCCCTTGCCAAGCATACAAGGCTTGGACAATCCCATGCTCGAGGAAGAGCGAGCTGTTGTGAAGGGAGATATAAATCAAGCAAAAGCTGAAGCGAAACTTCGTATCCAGAGGCGGTTTGGTCTTGAAGAAAACCCCAACGCTCGTCTTTTCGTGTCATTGGGCCGGCTGGTTCGGCAAAAGGGTGTCGATCTCATCGCGGATGTGGCAGGATGGCTTTTGTCAGAACACGCAGATTCTCAACTGATTTTAGTGGGTCCCATCGGAGATGGCTTTGGCCACTATGCTGCCAGCAGGCTGCAGCAATTGGACGCGCATGGGCAGTACCATGGAAGGCTGTATGTCAACATCCAGTTCATGTATCTTGCCAGCATAAGGCAGTATAAAAAGCAGTAAAACCGAGGGCCCCCAAGCATGCGGTACTGGGGCTTGCAAGGCGAGACCCTGAAGCTTTGAAGGACATGAAGCTCGGTGAGCACCTCATTGCTCTCTTTGCACATGTTGCCACGCAAGAAAGAATCGCCTTTTTTTCGAATTGAGGTGCAGACTTCTGCCTCATGCCTTCCCGTGACGAGTCGCTGGCTTAGCAGACAATAGTTGGGAAGGTCGGGCATGTCACGCCACCGTCCGCGCATGGCGTCCGCGCATGGCGTCCCTCTTCTGTTTTGACATGGTCTCGCAGCCTCTGTACAGCCGCAGCTAGAAGAACAACTTCCAGGCCGACCGGCAGGTCTTTTCTGTGTGCCCCTCACACTGATGCAAATGGTAAAGGTGCTTGCGTCGGCCCAGCAATAAGCGGAACGAAAGCAAAGCCAAAGAGACGGGGCCCCGACCAAACCGTCCACGCCCAGGCCAGGGCAGAAACATTGTGGGGTTCTCTGATGTTCTCTATGCAAAACTGCCGAAACGAATGAACTAGTCGGGAGGAGCTGTGAGCACCTTCGGCCAGGGCTTGCTTAGGTGTAGCGCCGCCCCTGCACTCTCCCTCCTTTTCCCCCCCGCCCCGCGGCCTGCACCTTGGCCTCCAAGACATCCTGGTTAGGCTTCCACAACGTAGCCGGCGGTGACTGGAAGGTTACTGCAGTGTTCCACTGCACATACCTTTCCCGATGCTTGTCATAGTCGCTCTCTGCGGCTGCCCCAAGCGCGTGCAACTTTCAAGCGCATCTTGCGATCTCAACTGCAAGTGGGGGTCGGAGCGGGGACATCCGGCCGATTATGGCTTGCCCGGGGAGTTTTTTGAGGGCACAGCAGAGCTTGCCGTGATTTGCCGCAGAGGGCAAGTTCGGTCCCGGGGTAGGGCCAATAGGGCACGGAGTCGAACAGCGACGGCTGGCATCTGGCACCCAGAGCAGTCTCTTGAGATAGGAATGTTAGCAGTGCCTTGAAACACCCAAGGCCCTTTGGCTACGTGGACATTGAATTCGCTTGGCACGGAGCGCTGTTAGCCGCGCGCCTCAGGTCTCGGTTTCTGTTGCAGTATCGGAATGCGCTGGTTTTTGATGCTGCAGGTAGGCGCTCAAGCCGGAGGATTGGGCAAGGCACCTGCCTTTCGATTCATACTCACAGCTGCACACTTTCATGAAAAGATTGAGAAGGGCCTGTGGTTGTTGGAGGGTGAGGCTAGGGTGTAAGGGTGCCCGTAAGGGTGTCAGACCTTGGCAAGTGGACGGGCTGATTAGCGCCTCGCAGTCCCGATGCCAACCTCCTCGGTGTTGAGTTGCTCTGTGTGTTTTTTTCCTGTTCTGCAGTGGAACTAGGCATAAGCCGCTCTTTCGTTTTGCACAGAGGCTGAAACTTGCTTGTGTGGGCCTTGCATTCTTATCCTTCCTTCTTTGGTCCGAATCGGAGGGCCTGTTTTTTTGGTACTTTTTTTTGTTTTGGTACTTTTTTTTTTCCGTGGTCCCCTGGTCTGCTGGTCCCTGGTCTGTTGGTCTCCCGGTCTGCTGGTCTGCTGGTCGCCTGCTCCCCTGGTCTGCTACCCCCCCGCTTCTTCAAGCCGTGCAAACTTTTTTCAAAGCAGCTGAACGATTAAAACCCATCAGGCCACTTCTTTTCTCAAAGCATATGAACGATTGAAGCCCATGATGCGAGCATTGTGTTTGCAAATGGGGGGGGCGGGGCTGCGCCGCCCCAACCTCCCCGCCTTTTTTAGCCGTGGAAGCAAATTTCAAAGCATATGAACGATTGAAAGCCATCATGCGAGTATTGTGTTTGCAAATGGGGGGGGGGGGGGCTGCCCCCAACCCCCCCCCCCCCCCCCCGCTGCTTGAAGCCGTGCAAGCTTTTTTCAGAGCATATGAAGGATTGCAACCCATCATGCCACCTTTTTCTAAGCATCTGAACGATCGAACCCATGACGCAAGCATTGTGTTTGCAAATGGGGGGGTGCTGCGCCCCCCCCCCCCCCCCAACCCCTCCGCTTCTTTCAGCCGTGCAAGCCTTTTTCAAAGCACATGAACGATAAAAACCCATCAGGCCCTGTTTCAAAGCATATGAACGATTGAAACCCATGATGCGAGCATTGTGTTTGCAAATCCCCCCCCACCCCCCCGCCTTTTTTAGTGATGCAAGCTTGTTTCAAAGCACATTAGCGATTGAAAGCCATCATGCGAGCATGGTGTTTGCAAATGGGGGGGGGGGGGGCTGCGCCCCCCCCCAACCCCTCCGCTTCTCTAAGCCGTTCAAGTTTCTTTTCACTCCCCCTCCTCCTTTTTTAGCAATGCAAGCTTGTTTCAAAACATACGAATGCTTGAAAGCCATCATGCGAGCATTGTGTTGGCTGCGTCCCCCCCAACCCCCCCGCCCCCCGCTTCTTTAAGCCGTGCACGCTTTTTTCAAAGCTGTGGAAGACTGAAGCCCATCATGCCATGTTCTTAATGTTCTTAAAGCATATGAACGATTGAAGCCCATGATGCGAGCATGGTGTTTGCAAATGGGAGGGGGGGGCTGCGCCCCGCCTTCGCCCCAACCCCCTCGTTTTCCAAGCTATGCAAGCTTCATTCAAAGCATATGCGTCTTTTTGAAACCTATCATGCGAGCACTGCGTTTGCCCCCTCCCCCCCAACTTCCGGCTTTTAAAAGCCGTGCAAACTTGCGAGCCACATTTATAAGAAGTCCTACGAAAAGCAGTATGAGTCCTATGACGATTGACGATATGGAGGGAATGGAGGTTTTCGTAGGACAAAACAAAGAAACTGGACCAGTTCCCATGAAAATATAGAGGGAATGGAGGCTTTGCGGAAAACCCCAGAAAATCGAGCAACATTTATAAGACTTCCTACGAAAAGCAGTACGAGTCCCATGAAGATATGGAGGGAATGGAGGTTTTCGTGGGAAAAACAAAGAAACTGGACCAGTTCCCGTGAAAATATATAGAGGGAATGGAGGTTTTTCTGAAAACCCAAGAAAATCAACCACATCCTAAAAAATTTGAAAGGGACTCAAAGGTTGGTTGAGTAGCTTGACCAGGTGCCTGGCTTTTACTTCCTGGCCCAGAACAGGGAAAACTTGGGCCGCTTACGAAGGGAGCTACGCTCAGCAGTGCGGCTGGCTGAGCAATGCCTGGGTTGGATTGTCCACTGCATTGGCAGCGCTGCGGGAGTTCTGGCAGTTAAGAGGTCTCAAGCGATGCGAGCGCCAAGATCGCAGCTAGAAAGCCCGGCACTTTCTTCGGACGCTTCAGAGTGTACCAGACAGGATGCATTCGTGCCGCAGAAGTGGACCTGTCAGCTGGGAACGTCCCATATTCCCATATCAGTTGCATGCCCATGTATTTTCTTAAAGCTTGAGTGTGAGCATCCTGCTACTTGAGGCATGGCACAAGCCGCAGTCTGCATCTTTCTCAGCCTCTCCCTTGGACTGGAGATGTGGAATACTCATGTCTTGTGGGAAAGGTTGCAGCTTTCCGTTGGAGCACTGGCAGCGGCGCTTAGCAGGAGCGTATGGAACAGTCACTGAAGTGGCTAGGCAGCAATGACCTAGTGACATGCTGTCATGCTTGAGCTGTCCTGAGTTTGGTACACAGCGCGCTCTTTAAAACCCGAAGTATCTCGAAGTAGCACAGTTGATTAGTTCTGCCCATCTTGGTAACCCGCACGGAGCTGTTTCAGAACAGCGCAGGTTAACTTGACACTCGCTTGCCTTACAGTGTTTTGCGTCGGTCTAAACTGTTTCTAAACTGCGGTTTGCCTGGGCAGTGGCCTATGCGACCCCGAGTGACCAGGCAGTTAGCCATTGCAAGGCAAACTTCCCACAGCGCGCCTCTTAAAAACAGGCTTTGGCCCATTTGCAAGATCTTGCGAGTCAGCCGCCTTTTTCAATTTCCAATGGAGTTAAAGAAAGTTAGCACATGTTAACACGGATCGGTGTATCGTCTGCTGAGCACGTGTTGTCTTGCTCTGCAGATCTATGCGGTGTAGGCATGAGGATATGTGTTGGGCAAGTCTCTGTACTGTTATGTGTGCGAGGGTTCCTCCTCTCGGGGCAGAGCGGAAGCTTTGAGCTCGCAAGTGTAGGTTTCGACAGGTGCCAGATTCTGGCCATATCTGGCCATACATGGTTCAAACACTGCATGGGCACTTGCATGAGCGTCGACGTGAGCATTACTTGTTAACTGCCTTGGATCCAAGAATGGCATGGGCCGAGGGAGTGCCAACACTTCTGCAACGGGAGCAGTCTGTTGGGGCCTAAGATGGGCCGCACGGCGAGTACATGCGAGTACGCCATTCAGAAATTTCAGAATTGCGAAGCGAGAGACCAGAGCAGCGAAGGAGCAGAGCCTCGCCACCTTGGGTAACTCTTGCAGTCAGGACGATGCTGGACAAGGACTTCCCAAGACGATTCGCGCGTAGCGTCGCGTAGCCCAATGGCGCGAGTGCGATGGACAATTTGATTTGCTGGATCTGGTGTTGCTCTGTTACCTCTAAATGAAAATATTTGACCAAGGGCCCCCCCCCAGCCACCTGACGTGTATATTGGAGTATTCGGTAGCCACGCGAAGTATTTAATTTATTATTTTTATTTGTTTGGTTGATCAGCGCTGGCGGGATGCCACTGCGTCATTGGACAGTGTCAGGACTTCGGCTGGTTGCAGCTCCACCAGGCCATTGTGATTCAACAAAGGTCATGGAACATTCTCTTGTGATTCTTGTGCTTAGCCTCAGGATCATCGATTGAATTTGATGAAAGTCCGGTCTACAACTCAGCCGACTCAGCTTCAATTGTGCGCACCAATTTTTGGAGTCCAAGTCTCGGCTTGCAGTTTGTCCACAGGGACGAGGGTCGGGAACAAAGACCTTCCGGCCGTATCCCGATGCTGCAGACGCTGTACTGCTGCACAGCCCTCATCGGCCCTGCGGCATGTTGGGACGACCCGGTGCATTGCAAGCTGTTGGCGGTCTGACAAGCCAAGAGAGTGAGCCTGGGCTACAACTAAGGTCTCCAGTGCGTCCAGGCCTAAGGTATTAACATAGTTCGGTGGTACAGGGAGCGTCGTCTCCAAACCGCTTTGAGGTGATGGAGCTGTGCAAGCAAGCCAATTTCCAGGCTAACCCTGGCTGGCTTTGAAGCATGAATCGTTTCTACAGCTGGTTTAACATGCATAATTGCTCGCGTGACAAGCTGTAGGTGCCGCCCCTGTATCCATCGTGAGAAACTCAGTCCCTTGAGCCTCCCTGAACGGGATTTCAGCACGATGCCGAAAGCACCTGAGCGGACTTTAGTGCAGACCCTTGTCCTGTTTCAGGTCGAATCTGCCGTGGGCGAAGAATACCATCATGTCAATGCAAGCTTTGCCCAGTCCGCTGCTGGACCGGAGTTCATGACGCAGGCTCTTGGAATCTCTTCAAGGTACTCGATATGCAGCACAAGATACAGACAACATCTTGCAGAGGAGCTGGACGAAGACGAGCTCGCCGAGAGGGTGAAGCAAAAAGTCCATGACCACCAGTGGGGAATAGACGAGGTGTGACCATAGAGCGTGCAGCTCTGAAGCCTTTTCTGACTCCTGACAAGTGCTTGGACAGATCCTGGAAAGCGTTGGTGCAGATGTTGACTTTGAGCGAGAAGGCAGCACTACTCTTAGCGCTGCGTTCACTGCGGCTCACCACAAGAATCACAAGATTCCGCTCGAGCTCCGAGGTCGACCCAGGCCATTGAGATTTTGGCACTCAATGACTCAAGCATCCGCCCAGGTCCGATGGCTCGTTGGTTACTTGGCCGTACCTGCGGCTGGGCACTTACTTGCATCACTCTTGCATCATCTCGCATATTACGAGGCGGTGATGATGGAGGATGGAGGATGGATGCTGGCGAACCGTGATGGATGATGACGGAAGATTGATAGCTAATGGACGTTGCATGATGATGACGAAGATGAGGAGGACGATTCCCATGATTACGGGCATAATCCGTCATCGTCGTCATTCTCTTCGCCGTAGCGATTTGGCAAGTGCTTGATTCCTTGATTCTTCTTGATTACATGAGCTGTGAGGTGTCCAGCGGGTTCACATTGTTGTCGCACTGGGGTACGTCGCGTCGCCGGTCGCAGAGTTCTTGACGTTTCTCACCGCCACAGAGTCTGTGCCCAAGAAAGACTTGTGAGTTGTTATAAACTTGAGTATTGGTTGCAAGCTTGCAAGTGTGTCGCGCTTAGGTGGGGTCTGAGGGGTGGAGAGACCGTGCCTCGATTCGCTGAAAGCTTAAACGGGCAGTGTACTTTCGTGCAATGACTCGTGCATGCGATATGCTTTATGCCATGCTATATGCGATGCATGTGCACAGGCTGCGTGGGTGTGAGATGGTGTGAGCAATGCGTTCGTCGTGCGACTCGCTTTTTCTCTCAAGGCCCAGCGCCTCTTCGGTCAGAAGATCGACCCTCCGGCCTCCGGCTCAGAGCCACGAGTTGAGACCGGAGCGTTGCAGCATGTTGCAGCGTTGCACCATGCTGCCATTCCCGTACTTTTGGGTTATTGTGGGCAACCATGGGCAACCCATGAGTTCAGCCGAGTTCAGCTGCGTGACATTGACAGAAATTTGCTCGGCCTTTCTCGGCCTTGCTCGGAAGCATTGCCAAGATCTTGAACATGTTGCTCTTCGCCATCAACGCACTCGCCTTCAGTGTTGCAGCGCCCTTTTGGGCAGTGCTTAGCCGCCGACCCCTTAATTTCAGGTCTCTTTACGAGTTCCAGGTCGGTGTCGAGTGCTGTCAGGAAGAATCAGTGCTGCATCATTGTGCTTGGCCAGATGAGGCTTCTTCCAGCCGAGGAGGATCATGGCAGTCAGCCTGCTGTGCCCTCCTGAGTGGTATGTAATGGTATGTAGCAAAAGTCTGCCGAGGCACAGTTGTCGAGTTCACCACGTGTTGTGGGCGCATCTCTTGGGAAAAGCTCCGCGGCACGAGTCTGTGTTCGGGCTCGTGGTTCCTGAGTTGTTCGTGCGCAGCCCACCTTTGTGACTCGCATGAGTTTGCGGAAGTCGCCTGAGTCGACTGGAAGTGTCGGGTTGCCACCAATGTGGTTACAGCATGTTCCGGCGTCTGTGCACGTGGGTTTCTACAAATTGCGGAACCACACTTTAGACGTTTTTTGGTGAAGCCACAGCGGGAGTGCATCTGGCCAACAAGTTAGTTATAGGAGGTGACCAATCAAACGCTAGAGCCGCTAGAGGTTGAAGCAATTGAAGCAATCTCGGTACCTTTCTGCATTTTCTACTGCACTTTCGCCGTGACTTCAATCTCGTTTTAAGGCTTCTTACCCCTCTAGTTGTCACTGAGCTTTGAACTATGTATACTGAACGACGTGAGACTTCAGCTACAGCAGAGTTTGAGCTGTGGTGTTTAGCACTGAGGCCTCGAGGACGGCCCTAGACCCTAAATCCTGCACCCAGAACTTGCAGTCTCCAGCTGGCCAAAGTTCACGAGGTGGGTAAGGTGGATGCTAAGCCGTAATATTTCAAACCCTCAGCACGTTCGAACCTCGAAAGCGCAGAAGCGCGATGTTTTCAAGCGGACTTTGCTAAACGATTCAAAGCGGGTCAGCGTCTGCAGCCTCAAACTCGACCCTCCCAGAGTCTAGGGCTCCCTTAGTGCGAATCCTTACCGCTCTAAACCCTCTTCAAGCTCCCGACGTCAGACTTGTGCTGTTGAGTTTCGGGGTTGTGAGCTTTTTGGCTTGCATTGTTTTAGGGGTTGAGTGGGAACACAAAAATTTCGGCCGAGAGTTCGGTGCTTCTGTTACTACAAGCAAACCGCTATCTACTTCCATTGTCGAGGCAACAAGTGGGTGCATGAACGTAATCATCGTTCGATATCGTTCGGGCATGGATGCCGCATGCACTGGCAGCACAGACGCAATCGTGGTGCGAACATGGAAATTTGCAGGGGCCGCGGCAACCAACCCATGTTAGGACATTAATTATTGTAAAGATTTTGGCGGGCGTCCCAATGCCCCTTTTACCTTGTGTTCGTATGTGTTCCTGTTCGGGCTCCATGCGAGGCTTCAAGTGCCGCTGCTGCTCACGCTGTGGCCAATGTATCCAAGCTTTGTGCGGAGCTTAGGAACGACAAAAAGGGACACAAAAGTTATGGAGTTGGACTGCGTTGTGGTGAAGAGTGTAAGAGTGTAAGAGTGTAGCAGTGTAATGCAGGAGCTGGCCTGTCTGTTGGTGTTCGCACATGGCCTGGTTGGAGCCCTAAGATGTTCTCGAAGGTGGAAACTCGACACTGACAGATGAAGACACGCAGGTAACGGCATCATCATTTCTCTTCCTCGTCTTCAACTTCATGATGTCTATCAAGGCAGCACAATTGCAAGCATTTGGAAGCAGTTGCAGCATGTTGCCGCACTTGCGCTACCATCACAGCAGCCGAAGTCTCGGAACTCTTCGCCAACACAGCATGAGGCGGACATGAGCAACTACGCCATACGCGACTTGGAGCGAAGATTGGAGTCCAGAGTTGGGTCAAAAACCTGCACTTGAGATGCGGCGAGTCGTGCCATCTGCCAGCAATCTTTCCCGACTTACTCAAAGCGCAGCAAAGGTCTCGGCACCCTGGAAATGCTGCCTCCTCCTCACATACTGGCGTTTGCACACCATATTTGCTTGAATTCTGGTGACTGTGGAGACACGTCTGCCTGATCTGTCCCGTTGTGTCCAGACGTCTCAAGATGAGCATTGCTGAAACTTGAAATCGTTGAACTTGCGGACAGAAGAGCTTGGGAAAAATTGAGAACGCTCCAGACTCCAGATGCACAACGGTGCACACGTGAAGCACAAGCTAAGCACGTCTTTCCAAAATCAGCCCCAGAGCTCGAGGGCATGGGCTGAAGAGAAGGACGAGCACTTCCTTTGCCGGGCATGCCCTGCCAAAACCTCCCAAAACCTGAAACCCTCGAGCCTATCAGGCCTATCATTCCAGCATTTGACATGTGTCGTCCGGAGCTCGACAGCTCGACAAGCTGGAACGACACAGTGCCTGGCCAATTTGCGAAAAGCCCACAAGCCCACGTAACGGTTGAAAGGGTGGCTTCAGTGATTCTGCTGGTTCACGTACTGTCGTTGCGTAAGCAGCGGCTACGGCAAATTGCAGTTTGTGACGAATGCCATGCCGTGGTTCCTAAGGCGCTATGTTGTGAACTGGCTTTTGAGCGGCTATATCTTCCTGGCATCTCCGTCTTCGCTCCGTGGAACCGCCGGTTACTCAGTACTTCTGTTGCCGTTGTGTCTTTAATTCCATTTCATGCATATAATATAGAGTTGTTTCGACAGAGACAAATTCCCACGCAGAAGCAGCAGCCCATTCCGACGAAGTTTGCGCTGCTCTTGCTTCCCATCGCTTGCACCTTACCTGTGGACGTCTGAAGTTTCAGAAGCTGGCCTACTATAGAATCTCTAGACCGTTTTGATGTCATGCTCGGCGAAGAGAGTGACATGTCTTGCACAGTCCTTTCGACGCAAGCCGGAAGCATACGGAAGCCAAGGGTTTGCTCATGCTCCTCCTGACCCTCATACCAGGAGCACCTTGGCGACACCTTTCTTGGAACAAACGCAAGTGTTGTACAAAGCCTTTGAGTATGCGTGTGTGTGTGTGTGTGTGTGTTGTGTGTGTGTGTGTGTGTTGTGTGTGTGTGTTGTGTGTGTGTGTGTGTGTTGTGTGTGTGTGTGTGTGTCTGTGTGTGTGTGTGTGTGTCATCAAAACCACTATTTCGCACTGCATGTCTTCGGATCTCCCGGCAATGTCAGGTTCTTCTGCTTTTTGCTCCGGGGTGCCATCCTCAGTATATAAACCTGGATGCGCTGCAGGAAGATCCTTGAAGCGGATTCTGATCTTCTCAACTCATGATGAGAACTGAAACGCTGGTGCGCAGGGTAGGATCTAAAACGTTTCTGAGGACGAACCCAGCCCAGTACTCCTGCAGTCTGATGGTGCTTCTTCTACGGGCCAAGCTGTGGCAGCTACTGCATCGCACGCTGCATCGCACGCTGCTTCCTAGACGTAAAGGTATGATGTTGGTCCCAGCCTACCCCACTCCATCTGCGAAATCCGAGAGACATCGAGAGACTACCACGGAACCAAAGAGACCAAGTACTAAAGTGCCGTAGCGCTACCTGCAACTACCCCAAAAGTCCTACAAGGCTCCAGCCCCACATGTTTGTTGGATCACAGCTCCGTGGACAATGTCGACCATCAAAACGGCTGGAACCAGCTAAGCAGCTAAGAGGCAAGCTAAGAGGCAAGTTGCGAGCAGTCTCCGAGGCGTTCCCAAGCTGAGGAGAACCAAGCACAGCATTTGACAACTGAGCACTGTCATGAACTGCCATTCGTCAACACATGCTGGTTGAGCAGCAGGACAGAATAGCACAGCATACTCGCAGTTAGAAGCCCTTGTCTTATCGAGGCCCTACCGTGAGGATCGATTTCCGGGTTGGAATCTTGAGCTGTTGTTCAAAAGGAGGCGGGTCGCATGATGTCTCATGAGTTCACTTTGTGAAGGCAATCTGGCACTCTTCACAGGTCATTCGTGCTCCTTTTCTTCAGTGAATGTCGTTGCCTTGGACTTCCGAAGAGCACAAGCCAGTGCCCACATGCGGATCTGAAGCTTGCTTCAGAAATTCAGGTGTTGGAAACCTGGCCTTATTTCCAGGGACTTGCTGGGCTCTCAGCTTTCGACTCAACTTGGTCCACAGGCCGCAGTGCTTTTGTGCGGTTCTGTGTGATCTGCCGGTGTTGTTGCATGTCGTGGTGCAGAGCATCGTTGTTTCCCCTGAAACCACTTCAATGACACACGTGTCGTTGTTAGCACGCACTCTTTTCACATGACCTCGCCTAGCTTGCGCTTAAAGTGGAGCATGCACCACGAGTATTTGTGGCTGAAACTGTATCTATCGAACCATCAATAACACGTGAAGCCATGTGAAGTCAACACAAGTCGGTACCCGCAAAAGAAGACACATTAGTTTCAAAGGGACAACATCCCACAGTTCCGGAGGCTCTTCCTCAGGCAGAGGCTCAGTGTGGGATTCCACAGCCAGGCCACAGTACCCTCCAACCAGGCAAAGTAAAGACTTGTTGGGTAGGGACCCTCCAAGCAGCTCAGTGCAGGAGCAAGTTGTCACATAGAGGAGGCGTGGAGAAAGTTAGCAAAGACCAGACTGATTAAACCGTTAACTAGAGTCGAGAAGAAGCAGCAGCAATATGGATGCAATATGGCAGTGCCATGTGTCATTGTTGAACAGTAAACGCTTCTTGAAAGAGAAAGGAAGCAACGCGGAGATGCGAATTGTGTTCTCCAGAAGTGTTCTCCCAATGTCCATGACTCATCTGATTGTCTCTACCACGCCCTGCCGTTGTGGCCTGCTTGTTCATCTCGCAACAAACACGGCATGAAACAGCTGACGTCTGAAACCCTAAGCCCTCATGGCATCTTATGGGTCAATACGTTGAATTATTTAACGGCTAGTGCCAGTGCCGGATATAGATTTGATTAAGAGTATGCATTGAATGCGCAGGATGATTACACGTCACGCACAGCCGGGGTGGAAAAGGCCCGAAGTTAGTGGAGGCACTGAATTTTTGCGGGCAGGACCGGGCGGCGGGGGGGCGGTGGGGGGGGGGGGGGGGGGGGGGGGGGGGGTAGGGGGGGTTAGGGGGGGTGGGGGTGGGTGGGGCAAGGCTGAAGTGCCCCTGGTCCTGATGCACCGTTTGCTCCTGGACACGTGTCGGTTACAAAGGGTTACCCATTTCACATTTCAGGCCAAAAAGTGCAAAAGAAAGGTGCGCAAACCTATAACCTGGGGAGGGGATTAGGTGGGGTGCCTGCTTTGTGCTACGGCCCAAGGCCTCGGCGGATTTGGATGTTATGCCATGTCCCACAAGATCAGGTTACATCAGCTGGTGGCTCTCCAATGGCTGGAGTAGCATTGAGCTTTCAAGCACCGAGCTCACAATGTTTTGTCTCCGCAGCCCGCAGCCCCGACAGAGCCCAAGGCCTGAGTGTTCTCTTTGCCTTTCTCTTGGCCTTCGGGACATTCCTTTGGGCTGAAGCCTCGGGGCCTGGGGTCTTCAGCCAAATTGCCAGGCAATTCTACGGACAGTGCGGTTCCTGGTCGTTTGAGTTCTTTTTCAGGCAGCTGCTCTCAGCCGCGCTTCCGACATGCTGGCTCGCATTATCTGGCATAATTGTATTGATGCAGGACGCATGCGTTTCAACACTGTTTCAACCAATTGCTTCTGCAACGGTTGTGAAGCACAGCGAGTCCAGCAACACATGGCAGATCCACGGCTTCTCGTTCCTTGTTGGAGTAGCCGTCATGCTGGTGCAGAACTTAGACTCGTTGCCGGCAAGGTTTCGTGCTTGCAGGGACTGACTATGTGTCGGACTCCCCAATGAAATCTAAACCAAACTGTGCAACTCCTGATAGGCGTGCAGAGGTTGGACATGTTCTTGTTTGACTCAATTTAACGGTAAGCTGTGATGATTCTGTGGATTAGCCACCTACCTCTTGCTTGCACTGCGGAGACATCGTCATCGATGTGTCGCATCTGCATGTGCCGACAACTCCCACCCATGTTTTTTTAAGATTTGGTTGCCACCAAGGCTCCGGGAATGATGTTGAGAAGCATTGTCCAAGACGAAGTGGCCACGATCACGAGCCTTGGACGCTCAGAGGCCAGGCTCCACAGCATGGATCCTCTCATTGCTCTACGCATTTCTGCGCAAAAATCACAGAATCTGCCGTCCAAAAGACAACATCAATGAGCATTTTGGTGTCGTATCTGGCATGAAGCAGCCCAACACGTCACAACACCGTGCGGTCAACACAACGAATCTGGTGCTTGTTCTGGCTAACCCGCATCATCCGCGTTGCAAACATGTTTTCTCTTCGACTATCCGGCCTAAAACAAGTAGGCGCTCCAAAAAAGCGTGCGTACATGGGGCCATCTACGATTGAATTGAATGATTCATTGAAACCGAGATGCCAGCATATCTGCCATCATAAAATCAGCCACTAGCAGTGCGAGACAGAAATACATGGAAACCCATTGAAACCACCTCTTAGCTCCCAGTGAGCAAAGGAAACTCGACGTAAACCCCAGGGTACCACTGTCGCTTGTCACGGGAACGACTGCGTGCACAAATCCAGGCGACAGACATGGACAGCAATTGCATCACAATTGACTCACAATTGCCCACATTTGCATTCAACACGTTCAACACGTTCAACACGTTCAAGGGAGCGGAGATGGCAGGCTGCAATGGTCATTGGAGTTTTCAGCTTGTTCTTGGAGGGCGTTTTGCACTTGGATCCTGTTTGCTTGTGCGAATGTGTGCCATATCACAGGTTTGGCTAATTCTGCCGTGAAGTGCCAAGGTTCGGTCGTCTGCTTTGTGGACGGCAAAAATCCGCATCCTTAACTCTAGGTGGCGTCTTCTCAGTGGGGAGCTTGGTGCTTTGTATTCCTGTCTGCCATGGTGTGCCACACCACTGCCGTTGCTACGCCATTAGTATGTCCTGTGCACCATTGGCTGTGAAAGAGTGGCAGATGTCAGTGTCATGTGCCAAAAGTTGGCAAGCCAAAGGCTACGGGACTGTTCTTCAAAGCTGCAGTCACTTCTGTGCCTTCCTATCACCAATCGTCCGGAACCGAGCTCCAACGAGCCCGGTACAGGGGCGGCGGGATCTGCTTTCAAAGAAAGAGCATCGAAAGAGTATTGAACGTGTACAGTTACAAGGTTTGTGAGTTTCTCGCCAGACGGCATCGAGCTCGGGCGCTCTGTGTGTGTGTGTGTGTGGGTGGTGGTGGTGTGTGGTGTGCGTGCGTGTGTTTTGTCACGTCCATGGCACATCATGGCACTCTCTAGTAGACGCCAAGAGTGCATTCCTATCATGCTGTGTGCAGGCATGGTGTGACCTTTATCACACGGAACCAGAAGGACGGGCATCATGTATGAGCCGTGTCGCTTTGAAGATTAATCCCTTCCCCCAAATATTAAACGGGCGCCCCCCCCCCCCCCCCCGCCCCCGCCCCAAATAGAAACTCGAAACGTGTTTTTATCATTAGGGGGATGTTTTTATCCAAATGTCATGTTTGGGGTCCAAAGGGTTTAGGGTCTAGGCTTCAGGGTAGCTTAATTACAGCGATTAGGGTGCAAACTGAAAGAGAGCGAGAGAGAGAGAGAGAGAGCTGAGTAGAAGAAGAAGAAGAGAAAATAAAAACGAGAGAGACAGAGAGAGAGAGAGAGAGAGAGAGCTCCACTGGAGGGTATTCTAATATGAAGTAACTCCAAGCCTGTGTGGTCAGTTTCACAACCGACTGGATCGCTTGAGCACGTCCCTTGGGACGACCCCCTCGGGGGTTATGTGCTGTGGAAGGAAGGAAGAGAGCTCCACTCACGCAGCACATAAAGGCTCAGCTAAGGGAGGTTCAGGATGTTGGTTGGCTCGAGGGTTTTGGGAGCCCTCAACCCACCCCCTAATTCGAAACAGGTCTTAAATTGCGGGGGTGATTTCGGGAGGATTTTCCGGAAAGTGTGTTTATAATTGGGGGGGGGGGGGGGGGTTTAATAAAAGGGGGAAGAAGGGATGAGGCCAATGATTAGGCTGTCTTGTGGCAGCGGGGCAATGAAATGCAACGAACTTGTTAGAAATCAGTTTATCGTCGCAGTTTGTCAATGTCAGAGTGCTCGACATTGCTCGACGAAGGAGCTGGCGGATGCTATGATCATGTCAGTGAGCAGCTCAGTGAGTCTGCGTATGAAGTCACAGGAGCACCTAGCAAATGGTTGACTCAGGTTGTCCCTTTGGGCTTGGTGCAATTCCTTTTGCAGGCGGGCAGTGCAGCTGGAGAAGGATCGGAAGGTATCGGAAGTGTGCGTTGTTGGAGGTCATCATCGCACCATTTATCAAAAAGGACACGGAGAGTTGGAGTCTTTTTGTCTGTAGACCGGGGAAGGACCTGCAAAATCCACTGAGATGCACTGTGGCCAGGACATGGGTATCTCTGTAGGAGCTGAACGAAGCTCGAGGATTGCTCGAAATACGAAGCCGCAGAAATGAGCATCTGATCCTAACCTGGTCCTTTGCCCGCGTACGCTTGCATTCACAAGCCATTTTAGCCAGGAGCCTGCTGCGAAAGTTCAGGAAAGGCACCTCAGTGTTCGCACTTGCTACCTTCACTGCTACAGGCCATGGAGCGCCAATGGATGCTGCATGCGCAAGGGTTGCGTCCTTTCTTCCCAATCGCAGCGAGGCATAGCCCTGGTTGTGTTGATGGGAATCTTCCTGAAGATACAGATGCCGGTCGATCGAATTGCGAGATGCGCGGCCCCTCAGAATTTTCAGAGTTCACTCGGAGGGTCCTAGAAGGTCTAGTGTTCTCTCTCGGTGTTGCCTGCTCCTTTCATTTCGTTGCTTCGGGAACTCACCGAGGCGAGCTTCCTCACGCAACAAATTGCTCTGCCTGCCCGGCAATTGCCATCGGGGAATGTTGAAAAGTTCGCCCTCAGCGATATGCTTTGGGCGCACGTCAGGTTTTTGTTTTTTTGTTGGTCAGTTTTTTTCTCGACATATTTGCCGTTCGTAACTGGTTACGATATCGTGCGCGGCAGGTCCTTGCGGATGAGGTGGATGCCCAGGAGGCTACCCTTGGCCAGCACTATGGCCTCAATCGCTTCGGGCAAAACACCACAGGCGTGGCCAGGGTCAGCCAACGGTCAGCCCCAGCCAGGAATCTGCGGGTTTTTGATTCCTTCAATGAGACTTCCGAAGACATCTTGAAAACCGCAAGTGAAATACATCTAATACCGCCAGTCGCTGTAACCCAGGCCCTAGGGAGCATGTGACGTTGCACCATTATTTTGAGGCGAACTCGACTCCAGAAGGTTTATTAAGTTTTGCTGAAAAGAAGTCAGCAGCCAGCAGCAGCATTCAACAACATTGGACTGGAAAGGGCACATCCAGCAACATAATGCAACCTTTGATTCCGACTTGTCTTTGGGCAGCTCATGAGTTTGAAGTTTCGGGCTTGTGTTCAAGTTCGCGAAGGTTTTGGATGCAAGGTTTACAAGTTTAGGGCTCTGGAGTTTGGCGTTGGGTTTAGGCATTATATTATGGAATGATTTCAGAACGTGTGCTTCCCCGAATTCCTGCGTTGTCTCCGAGTCCGAATGTCCGCAGCGAGTTCCCAATTCCAGCCTATTCCTGGAATGTTCGCGGCAACCTTGGGAAAATTAGAAAACATTGAACTGAACAGCCTTCATCAGCCTCTGGCCATCTCCGGCCTTAACAGAAGATGCTGCTTGATGTTTTTGATGCAATTCGCGTCTTTTGCCGCAGGCCTCTCCAATTGCTTGAGCCGAATGAGAGCTGTCGGAGGCAGGCAAAAAGAATAAGACTGAAGTGGGCGAAAGGTAGAGGGAATCAGGAGTTATTTTCGCCGAGCGAACTTCACTAAGGAGACACGTTTCGATTTTGGCAATTCGGAAGATGCCAGGCCCGGCCTGACGACACGCACAAGATTCCTCCAAAGAGCTTACTAGTTGTTTGAGTAGTGATTGTCTGACGTCGTTTGTATCTTTTTCAGCTTTGCACCTTGCACTTCGACGTGCTTGTTCGGTGACAGGCCGAAGAGCACAGTCAATGAGAGGAACCCGAAAACGACAAGAAAGAGAAGGTGTGGAAAGCTCTGGGCTTTTGTGTGAGCTTTTGAACAGGTGCAGATGTGTGGAAGCGCTTCCGCGCTGCAAAATGGGAGATCAGCCGGCGAAGGCGTGGATGGCGTGGACTTTCTAGAATCTTGCAGATGTGGCTCAGCATCCAGAAGCTTCAGCGTGTTCCTGGCAGGTGAGGGACCCCTGCAGACTTACGACTTGTGGTCGCGCTATTGTGACATGTGTGGCACCTTTTTTGCCTACGCAACTCATTGTCATTCTCAATGTGATCCCTGATATGACCAGCAGCTCATGCCGTCTGTGCACTGTGTTGCCCTGATGTGACACAAGGTCGCGCCCGAATTTGATCGCAGTGCATCTTTTCGAATGGCCTTCCAACTCAGCGGTGTGACACATACACTTTGATTTTCCTGGATCGTGTTTGCATGCTTTTCCTGCCAAGAAAAGCAGATTTGTTTACGGTGTGACCCCTTTTCTCCCCAATACCCCGGAGCTTGTCCTCCCTTGTCTCGCTTTACCTGCTGGTGTGGGTAGGGCCGGGTCGGGCATGCAGCTGTCCCTTATGGTCTCTCTCTAAGTCTTTGGCTCCATTGGATCGATGTGGAACATGCCGGGCTTTCGGAGTTTTTTGGTCGCCCCGAACACCTGTGTGTTTTTCTTTCATCTCCCCTCGTGTGATTGCCACGTGCATTGCTCCAGGCCAAGAGGGGTTGCTTGGCGTCGGCAGTTTCGTTTCAGTCGAGGCAAAAGGTTCTGTTTCAGATGCTAATTCGAGCGAGATGCCTCTAAAGGCTTTTGAGTCCAAACACTTGCCTGTCATCCAGGCCAGAATAAGCTGTTTTTCGGTGTGCAGTTTCGGGCAGAACTTCGCAAGTCTTTTCCGATTGCCATCCAGTGCACCAAACAAATTAATTCGATTTGCTGCCCGGGCTTCAAAACCCTCACAACGAGTTACTCGTACAGGCTTACTGATTAAGTTTAGTACGGAGCAGAACGAAGTTGTGTTAAGCTTGTCAAGGTCGTTTTAAAACCCACGGCGGTTTGCAGACATGCGGACTACAAGCTTTTTTTTGCACATGTCTGCTGGCATTTCAACGAAGGTCGTGGCAAGATGTGGGCCACACGCTTATGATGTTTTGGATCACGGTACTGCTTCTTTGCACTCTTGCCCATCTTGTAGTGTCAGCGAGGGCGTACTGTACACGAGGGAGTGAATGCGAAAACTACCTTGGACCAGCGGGTTTCAATGCTGTGCAGGTGGGGGAGCCGTGACAAACATGTAGAAATCGCTGTCAACAGCTGTCATCAATCTTTCATGATTGGCATCGTGCTAGATTCTGCTGGCAGGTCTCACCGCCCAGTGAGCACATTCTTGGTGACTCATGGTGCGCTTCCACATGCTTCCACCTTCGGCGTGCTTGATCTTTATGGCACATTATGGCACAATCGAGCCTTAGTATGGCAGGGCAACGCGATACCAACCAGTGTCGTACAAGCCGCACAGTTGCAATCAGGATGCATGTCAATGCTGATGCCAAGCTTTTGCGCTAAGCTTTGCTAAGCTCGGTTATTCAATGGAATGGTAGAGAGAGTGGGCCTCGGATCGATCTGCCTGAGAGAAGCTTGAAAGGATTTGAGTGGTGCTGCAGCATTTGTAGTGCCCTAAAACCTGAGGTTAGAATCCAGAGGAGGCAGCACAGACGACTTCGTGAGCATGGTGAGCAGGTCACGTGGGCCACTGCCAACTCCACTCATATTCACACGCAGACAACCATTATTCCACCACCTCAAGTTTGCCACTCACACTGTCTCGGAAGCAGATTCCATTTAAGTGACTAAGGCACACATGGCACACCTACTAGGATTGGGCTTGGCATGGCTTGGCGAGGTGCCGATCCGCTGGGGTCAACATCATGGCCGCCCGGCCACGAGGGATTGCAAGGAAGTCCGTGTGCGAGCACACGTCGTTCTGATGCGAAGACGTGAAACCTGAATTGCAGTTGCAAACTCAATCAAGCTCAGGTAGATGTTGTTCTGAATCACATGGCCGGACCCTTTGTTTTCTCGCCTGAGAAGGACAGGGGCAAGGCTCGGAATCGAAAGTTGTTTCCCAAAGCTCTGGGAGCGCAAGCGGTGATCCCGTCCGTTCTGCAGGCATGTGGCCAGCATGAGGACACACCGAAATCCTCGACTGCAAAATGTGGGGAGCCAAGAAGATCTCTGTGAATCTCTGTGTGATGTGGCCGCGTGCCGTGTTCAAGTGTTTTGCAGGTCTGGGTTGGGACAACACCGAGCGCCTTGGCATTTTTTGTCTCTCGTTGGGGGGCTTTCTCCACTGCCTTACGCTGCTCTGAGTGCCCACTGAAATGCCCCCCCTGCCCTTTTACGCCAATGTCAGGCTTTTAAGGTAAACTTTAAGGGTGCTTATGGGTGCTTTCTTTGCGCGCCTTTGTCCGACTTTCTTGGTGCGATGATGCTTATGCCCCAGGAAGCTGGACCTGCGCTAAGGTACGGGAATCGCGAGTATTTGAACGGCACGACGCCCGGATGACTGTACGTGAATCAGGTTTTGGCAATGAGCAAGCTTGATGGCATGAAGGGGTGCCTCGAGATGGGTTTTAAGGTGGCATGTAGAGTCTTGTTGCTCGCGTCGCATACCACTGTTGAACAGTTGCGGCCGATCAAGTTCGTGCCTTTCTGCATGTTCTCAGGTCGTAAAGGACTGGATTGGTACGACAGATCGATGCCTGGAGCTTAAAAGACCTTCAAAAGCTTAGATGTCGGAGCTTGCAGAAGGAGCTGCAGTGACGAAACACGCATGCAAGTCGCATGCAGCTCCTGGACCCTTGTTGAACGATTGAATCGAAAAGGCTGCAATAGGGCATTCAAGGAATTTGGCCGCTAGAGCAAGGCCGCCTGTTGGGCTGGCAGGGTGAGGAGTCGCCTAAGCTTTGCGACTTGACGACGTCTGTCAGGGGAGGGGGCCAGGTCAGGGATGCGATATGCGGTTACCTGACAACATCTTGAGGGGAGGGGGCATGGGAGGGGTGGGTTGGCGGGGCGGGAAAGGAGCAACCAGGAGCGGGGGGTGTGGCGAAATGAGGGGGCGCGGGGGAGGGGAAGGAGGTCTCACGAGGGAATCGCAAATGCGAAGGACGGCCTTTCCTATTTTAGAACGTCCAGTCTAGGTTCCATCATTACCCCGACAACGAGCACGCGAACTGTGGACTGCCACCCTGGACAAACAACAAGCGTCACGCTCTCAGGTTTGTCCAGCTTCTGCCGAACGAAACATGCGAAGCTGGGATTCGGCCAACATCTACAAACCACTGAAATCACGTAACATCACGATGACCAGGTTTGTGCGACATGTATGGACTCCCTGACCTCAACACAGAGGACAAGAACGTCCTCGGTCTCAGTGTGTTCCCGTCGTAATTGTCACTTGCAATCAAGAGCACTGAGCTTTTCCCAATAAGGTTCAGAAGCAACTCAGAGCATACTTGTTTGAGCTGCTGGAGACAGGGGTGACTATGATTCGCAAGCGCCTTATGTGAAATGTTTGGAAAGGTAGAACAGAGCAGTTGTAGAAGCTGCTTGGCATACTGCCAGGCGTGGATGCTGCGATGAATATCTACCCAGAGTCGCTTGCACAGGCTCTCAATTTCGTTTGCAGATGTTTGCAGCTCCCATTGACAAATTTCCTGTGTGATCCTCACAGGTCGTTCTTGCTTTACCATGGGAGTACATTGTGCAGGCCGAAGTTGCTCCGGGGCTGCTTTCTGTTGCGCTTGTTTTCATGGTGCTGATTGTTCCCCCTCTTAGCGCATTGGCTTAAGCCGCTTCGGCAGGAGTACTATCCTGACATGTTCGAAGACAAAGAGAACAGAGAAAAGGCCAGAGCTGCGTAGGAGTGTGGTTCCGCGTAGTTGCTCCGACAGGCCCCCAAAAAAGGCATTGCAGGCAGCACTGTTCACACACACTGTGCAGCTGCATTGTATCGGAAGACGCAAGTGAGACAAGACCAAGATGAGAATAGGCTTCCATAAATATGGTATAGTGGCATAGTGGCCTTAAATCTTACAGTCACCAAGGCTTCAACGGCTCTCCCCAACTTCACAAGGCCCAAGAATTGACAAGGAAGGGGCGCCAAGAATGAGTGTGCATCCTTTGGACAAGGAAAATGAGACGTGGAATGGCCCCAGACTATGAAGGCAGATCGTAGCTCCAACATCGCGGTGTCAGCAATGTGGGCAATACAGGTAGCTGTCTCACGGGAACATGACTTCCACGGTTGACACAAGCAATGAACAGTAGTGATCGTTCGTTCTACTGCCGCCATCAGCATGCAGTCAAACCACAGCGCCGCTGCTTTAACCGACACCTCGGAAGCAGCAGAAATGAGCCTCAAAGGAGCCCTGTAATCCCCCACTGGACACGACCCCATCAGCATAGCCCTTCTTGCTCTCGGTTGATGAGGACTTTCACTTGTGCTTCAGGCAACCAGCATCGGATCAGCGACCGACTTCACGTTCGGGCAGCGAGTGGCGGAGAGCCTGTTTGATGGAAACGCGGGCAGCTGGTACAACAGGCATCGAACCAAAAGTATGAGGCATGCAGCCCATGTGATGTCACGTGTGATGTCAAATGACATGCCGCGAAGGTCCCGTCAGCTAGGAGAGCTTCTCCAGTTGCAGCGCGAAGGCATGATTACTACATATTACTATGACTATTGCGAGTAGACCCGTTCATGAGACTGCGCACTTGGCTCGTCCATGGATTTTCAGTGCAGTGTGTCATGGTGTCGTTATTATGGCGCTTGGCAACGTCTTTTTGCGACGCAGGCTTTCCAGATTGCCGCTACAGGATTTGTGAATCGTCAGGAGCTTGAGCCGTAGCACGCCACATTTACGTAAATTCAGCTTTTGGCCTAGCGGCACGTTGGCATAGTCAGGCCAGTTCCCTCCGACCGGGCGCTCCTGTTTTTGGACAATCATGATCAACAGCGGGAGCGCTGGAAGCCCGAGGCTGCAGGAGGGTGTCGCGTGTTGTATCCTGTTGTGAAAGGGAAGCTTCTGCTTAGTGCAGGTGAAGGGACAGCCACCTTCCACCCCAGTTTGTTATTGGGATGGTGCGGCGCTTTCAACGTTTTGCTTGAACTATCGCTTGCCTGGGGCCTAGAACTCGGAATTCATAAAGCCAAAGTGATGTTCCCAGGCCGGGATATCGGAAGCTGCAGACCCATATACAAACACGGCCAAGTTTATGCTTTGGCCACCGCCTCGATACATTTTTGCTCGTGCGCACGGCTCATGGTTTTTTAACGGCTCTACCCACAGGCGCAGCTCTACATGCTTGCCTGGCCGTATGGAGCAGACAGACGATCTTCGGTTCGGCAGCACGGCCTCACACGTTTTGTGCTTTTTGTTAACAACACATCCTTGTCACATCTTAGGCTGATGTCCTCGTATGGATTTCACGAGTTCAATGAGGGCCCGCCTGGTGTAGGTCGGGTTCAACATTAAAACCAAGTTCAAAAGGTTTAGAATCCCAAGACTGCCACAAGGGAAAGACCAGAAAGCACCTGCAGGTCGAGACTCGTTGAGGGACAAGGCTGCATCCCCTGTTGTTTGTTCGGCCCTCGGTGCAAATTGAGTCATACGGAGCACGGCAGCATTGCCAGCAGATGTTCTGCGAGGTCCAAGCCAACGTCCCCCCCAACCCACAGTTTTCCAGTTCATCAACGGCTTGTCCACATGTGTCTACAAGACAGTATCTGTTGTTCCTGCTTTTTTCTATTGTATTGTAGTACTGTTCATCTAAGGAACCGTCTGTGAGATTAAAGGAACAAGAATAAGGAACAAACGCATCAGGCCGAAGTGCGCCCACAACATCTCCAGTCACTGATGCCTACGACAATGACGGGCTCATACGGGCTCTTCATCGCTTCCACATGCTTCCACATGCTTCCGATGCCTCTTGCGACCATTTTTCGACCTTTGAAGTTCAGAGACTTAAAGGACACCGCAAAACCCTGGGTCTGTGAGCACCGCTGGCAAGGCCGGGTGCGAATGGGGTGTCAGAAGCTGTGACAAATTGAGAATAGCTTGATATTGCTTCGCGTTACTTGGGCATCGTTGCGTGAGACTTCTGACAGGTGTTTCTGGTACGATCCGCTTTCGGCAGTTCTCGAATGGGCTGCAGCCTAAAGCAGATTGCCGATCATTTGCCTTTTGCTTTTTGGACTCACGCCGTGCGGGCATCGAGCCCGAGTTGTTTGGCAATGGATGCAATGGGCATTCACGGTGCGTGGAAGCATGCTGAATTCTTTCACGAGTCACATTCTGGAACGCGCTCGAGGGCGTGGAAGAGGCTGTCAGTATGCATGCCCAAGTTTGGTGGCGGATCGGGGTGCTGAAGGCAAAACTTTTGGGAAGCGCTCCGGTTCGGCCCGGTGTCGTCGATTCGTAACACTTAGCCGTCGGGCCCTTGCCTAGGTCTTATGGGGTTTTGGGCATAGCAAATATGGTCTATGGTACTGGAAACCTGCAAGCAAGAAGGAGCGACAAATAGCCCATGACAACCGACATATACCAAAATAATAACATAATTTTACAGTGCACCAGTGCCCAACTACTCCCACCTAGGACGATTAGTCGTTAGTTAGCTTCTCATGCTCCTCCACATTCTTCCGCCCTCAAGATTCCTGCAGTCTTGTTCGCTCAACGTCTTGTGCAAGGGGAACGCTGTCGTATGCTGTCGCTGTCAGCTAACTCCCTGCCACCCAGCATACCACAGTTCGCTTTCTGGACTGGGACCAGTCAATGCGGCACTAAGTTCTGCGGAAGTTCATTCCACTTGGGATGATGGAGACGGCCACATTGGCTTCAGTCTTGGACACGTCGACGGCTCAGCATGTGTTGCTGCTGCGTAAGACGCAGTGTGCTCCGATGCAATGTGCTCCGATGATGCTACCGTATGGCGGCAGTGCGCGGTACTTCTCCCCATAATCCTGCCATGTCAAAACCTCTAGACTCTTGACCAAGCGAGACCGAGGCAAGAACCCGAGTTCGACCCAAATTTGCGTGCGCCACATGCCGTAAAGAAAGCAAAACTTTTCCAAAACAAAGAATGCCTTTGCAGAAGCCCTTGAAGAAAGTAACAATCCCCAAAACAAACAATGCCTTTAACAAAATTTCTGGACTTCATATTTGCAACCAAAAGTGTGCGTGGTGCCTCATTCTGGTGCAGGTCTCTGTTACAGAGCTGTGCATGATGGCTGCAAAGGTTGGCTTCGCAGCTTTCAGCCGCGGGTACAACTGGCCTGCGGCTCGGAGCGAGGAGAAACTTCGGGATTAGAGCGTGCCTATCTGGATTTCTGGTTTCGAATTCTAGTGGGTGTGTAAGGCAGCGTGGACTGGGCTTTTGTGTATGCTTAGCTTGCTTTCTTCGTCCTGTTTCGCTGAACACAGCCGCAGATGTTGAGGTACACGAAGCAAGGTTCCCATGCTGCTATATCACTTGCAGGCCGCTGAAGCAGAATTGGATCAGATAAGCATGTTTGGATGTTGTACAGTTTGGGAGAAATACTCGTAGCCGTCGTAGCTTGTGGAAGCTTTGATTCAACTGACCCAGGCAAATCTACAGGCCTGCAGGGGCCTTTGTGAAGGGTCACACATGTGCACGCGCCCGCGCGCGCAATGAGATTTTACAAAGTTTCCTGAACTGTAGCTACTAAGTTCCTCTATCATATATACAATGCTGTCATATGCTGCCTGTGATTGTTTCGTTTTGTGCCGAGGCCAACAGGATGCCTTGCCGGCCTGTTTTGAAGCTGCCCAAATTGTTCCCCAAAGACTCGAGAAAATCATAATTGTGAAAAAACTCTTCGTTGAAATTTGAAGGTTACTGCAATTTGGCAGATGAGCCTGGGGCGTGCTTCTGAGCCCCATCGAAACTTTTGTATAGCGAAACGATTGCTTGCATCAAGGGGTTGTTATGGGTTGTTCATCCCTTTCACAGCTGAGGCAGTTCCAGATCCTCAAAACTGGACTGGGAGGCAGAACATGGCACAACATGGCACAGCTTGTTTGTCTGGAAGTCGTCATCCGATATGGATGGCCGCCTGGTAGCTCGTGTGATGCAACACGCTGCAAGGTGCGCGGGTCCGACCATCCTTGTGAGAAACCGGACCATCGTCATCCCAGCAAGTGAGTGAATATGAGTGAAGAGTGAACGCAGTGAATAGTGAGCGCACGTGAGCGCCGAGGTATGCCGAGGACAGTTTGTGCGCGATAGCCAGTACAGACAGATGTTACAAGTAGCCGCTAGCCCTGCGCACCTGCCTGCAAATGAATCCCTAGATATCGCCAGCATGACAGAATAATTCTGCTCGAAGAGGGGGGGTTGGAAGCTTCAACGGACAACTGCACTAAGACAGCGGCACAGAGGCTGGCCGAGGAACACAGCCGAGGGTTTCACAGGACACGCCCACGCCGAAGCCCTACACAACCACGCCATGCCACACCATCTGCCCACTCTCTACCTCCCTCCCTCCCCTGCCTCTCACATGGTTGTGGCATGTTGTGGCTACACCAGCGGCTCTCGTACCCGGAACACGTAGGGCAACGGTGCTTACTGTAGTGGATGCCAGGTTAATGCTCAGCTTGCCAGTGGAGCGGTCAGATACTTGGCGACGATTCTGCTGGCCTGCCTGCGGCAGAAGTTGTGAGATGCCTTCAGGCTGTCATTCTTCATGCTTTGCCGGCGGCCCGGTATGTGGGGCCATGCCATGCACATCATGCACGTTCGACAGGATTGATGCTGCGTTCGCCCGTTCTCATGCTCTCTATGCGGCCTCCTCCAGCACATTTCCTTCAGGTATCCTGCTGAAGCTGGCCTATGCGCCATTGGCGCCAGCTTGATTGACAAGGCCCTTAGTCCGGGAGAATCGACAGCGATGGCTGCGGCGCTGCGTTTTGCAAAGGTTGTGGTGGCCTAGAGGGCTCCCTGGACAATGAGATGGATTGTGATCCGCCTGGATAATGAACCGCGCCTTTGCTCAGGGCCAAGCTCCAAGTCTCAGCCTTGTAGAGCCACAGATTGAGCTGGTGCGGACGGATGAGAGTTTGCATTTCCTCTTAAATGTCATTCATCAAGCATGAGATTCGCCATCCATTCCGCACCTCATTCCGACTGATGAGAAGAGCAGCGCTTGCTCCTCGAAAATGTTGTGCACGATGCATGCCCGGAGCAAGTCAGCAGGACGTTGCGAGCAAGACATAATGCAACGGACACATTTTAGGCCTGGCGGCACAGGCCGGCCCTTGGCATTCACCATCCTCATACCCACAAGTTGTGCGGGGAAAGGAGGGGGGGGGCAACCCGAGACTGAGATTGCTTGAGGTGCCGCGGGGGAGGGCGGCGGGTTTCGGCTGCTTTTGTGCCCAAACCCTAACCCTAGACCCTAAACCCCTAAGCCCGAAACCCTACACCCTGAACCACTCGCGCAAGAGCTCGCATACAACAGCATCACACAGTCTTTCTCTCTGGCTCTCACCCTTGCGCTCTCTTCTCTCTCCCTCTTCTCTCTCTGCTCGCTCTTCTCACTTTCTTCTCTCTCTCTTCTCTTTTCTGTCACGAAAGCTCCCCCCGGAGGGAGCTTTTCGTTGGGGGGTCTGGGGGGTGGGACTGGTCAAAAAACGGTGGCTCCGGCTTGCTATCCCCCCTGGGAGGCGGGTCCCGAGGCTACTGCCCACGAGGCCCCAAAGTGGGGCATTTTTCAGGTGCTCGGAGCGGTCTAATTTTGGTGCCTTTCTGACGAGAAACGGGACCGGTGCGATGCCGCTGATGCTCGCCGGCTAGGGTGCCGGGCACGGCGACCCTTGTTGGCCCCTGGCGACCCTTGTTGGCCCGGGTCATGGGGACGAGCAGGGTGCCAGAGAGACATGTCTGAAATGTCTCTCTGGTACCCTGCTGGTTCCCATGGCCCAGGCTCTGCCGCTGCTGGCCCTGGGCCCGCCAGCGGACGCCTGCCCGGGACGAAAAAAAACACTCGCATCACGAAGCTTTCGTTTCTGCCTGTGGCTATCAAGTCTCTTCTTTCTCGGCTCTCTCTTCTCTTCCCTTTCTTCTCTCTTCTCTGTCTCTCTTCCTCTTTCTCCGGCTCTTCTTTTTTTGTTGCTCCTTCTCTTGTTATTGTTTTTTCTTTCTCTTCACCTGTATCTTTTTGTTTCTCTCTTTCGCTTTCTCTTTCTCATTCTCGCTCCTCTACCTGTCGCTCGCTCCTGTTTCTTTTGTTTTCGCATCTCTCTCACTCTCTCTTCCTCTTCTTTTTCCTCTTCCTCTGTCTTCTTCTCGTTCTCTTTCCCTCTCTCTTGCGCCTGCGCCAGCATCATGAGCATCAGTGGGGCGGGGGTGGGGAGGGGCGGGGTGGAAGGAAGGGGGGGGAAGGAAGGGGGGGGGAGGAAGGGGGGGAAGGAAGGGGGGGAAGGGGGGAAGGGAAGGGGGGGGGGGGGGAAGGGGAAGGGGGGGGGGGGAAGGGGAAGGGGGGGGGGGGAAGGGGGGGGGGAGGGGGGGCGGGCGGGGGGCCGCTGATGCTCATGATGCTCCCTTTGGCCGTGCCAAATAAATAAATAGACCCACGTTCAGGGTTTTCGAAGTAAACGCATGTTTGTGATGCTTTTAACTTAAGCTTCCCGGACCCGCCTCCCCCCCCCGACCCCGCCCCCTCCCCCTGCCAAAATAGAAGCTGCCTAGCACAACTCCCTAAACACGCTCATTTTGCACGCCTCCTGAACAGCTTCATGCCCGCGAAACATCGAAGAGTAATCAATACCCTCAATGCCCTTGAGGGTCTTACTTTGCGATGCTTTGCGGGCATGAAGCTGTTCAAGCGCGTAGAATGTGCGTGTTTAAGCGGGGGTTTTTTGGGGGGGGGGGGGGGGGCCTGAAAGACACTCGCTATTTACAAGGTTTTGTGCCCTGGGTGTGAGGGGTTGTGTTTATGCGGCGGGCCCAGGGGCCCGGGGGGAAAGGTTGGGGAGGGGCAGGAATGAGAATGGGTTTTCACTAACAGCGCCCTCTTGAAATTGGCGGACAGCAAGAATATTGCAGAACATGAGACACTGTTGACACCTTCGTGTTGGCGCGAAGCTGATTCGGAATGCTGTCCTTTTGTGGCAAATCTACGTCAAGGGACGAGAGACTAGCAGTCTAGCAGATATAGATGCTATAGTCGTGATAGTGGCCGGGATGCTGTTGGCAAGCCTTTGTGGAATGTAAATGTAAATACTTCGACAATCTAGCACCATGGCGCCCTAGAGTTCAAGACTGGCGCGGCTTATCCAAAATGCGCGATGCCGAGGCTTGGTTTCACACGCGAGTCGAGTGTGGCCGCTTGTTTGTGCTATTCGTGCTATTGGTACCATGTCTGGGCGGACTTCTCCCAACTCTCAACCCAGCACCGGGCTGAATAAGAGAGCTATAGAAACCCTTATAGTAAGTTGTGTTCTTCGTGCTCTTGGTTTGCTGTGCTCGGTCTGCACAGGATGGACGAAGCAATCTCCATCTCAGCGAGGTACGATGCCGTCCTCTCCAGTGTGCCTGCCCGTAGATCTCGCGACATATTGCAGCCTGCCAAAGCCAGAGCGGGTGTGCGGCGGCTTTGTTTCTAGGAGCCTCTTGGTTGTCTTTGGGTTCTTTACTTGTGAACATGACAAGCATTTGTTGAGACTGAAAAAGTTGCGGGGCCCCAGAGCTACTGGGTGGTTCGGGCCAACCGATGCTTCTGTATCTTCCAGTCTACTGTGACGGACAGGTACCCTTTGTCTGCCTCGAATTGGAACCTTTTCCGATTCCTGCCACTTACTACCACATCATCATACCCAATCATCATACCCCGACATGAATGGCCACGGGGTTTTGCAGATTGCACGGGTAGCACAAGTTATCAGTTCAGTTTGAAGGATTGAAGGGTAGGACCGGACTAGTCGTTCATGCGACGGGGAGGTTGACGATAGCTTGGGCAAAGCGCTTGGCCACAGCGGCGAGCTGGAGAAGCGGGCTCGCTCCTGACGTGGGAGCACAACGCGTATAGTTAAAAGGACACTGGACCTGATTCCATCCTGCCAGGCGCAGCACCTTCAGGCTCTGTGTTTTCTGTTGTTTTCTTTCGATCACGCATTGCTGTGCTGGAATCTGGGGACTCTGGTGTGAGGCTGAATCATGTGCCAGCGCAGGTGCACTTTCAAAAAGCCATGAAAGGCATTGGGGACATCAACAGGCCTATTTCATTCTATGGTTTCCAAAGATATCAAGACACTGTTTCTCCCTTACCTGTTTTGTCATGTTTTGTTGCGATTGTAATGTAGCAGGTTGTGTGACGAGGCGGCTGCGTATGATGACGATACTTCGTCGAGTATCTCCTAAGTTCAATGTTGTGCTGAGTGGTTACGGCTTGATGAGGCTGATGCCTCCGTCGCCCGCAACCAGCGCAAGCCCCAGCGACGAATAGCGGTGATTTATGTTTCATCTGATCCATGCACATCTGTTCAGAGCATGTGCTGTGGATATTTGCCTGTGGCGCCCCAGGGCCTTGCTAAATCGCTCTGCGCATCGAATCCACGACTTGAGCGAGCGGCTGCAACTACTCTTGCAGGCGCGAGTTGCTCTGCCATCTGCTCTGCCATCTTTTGGGGACTTGTCTCTTAAGAAAGACGTCACCGTTGTAAGCGTTCTCAAACGCTGCTCGGCCCTCTTTCTTGGTATGCTGCTATGTTCGATTGTTAAGCAAGTCGGTCACCCAATCTGGTTTTGGGTCCAGGTGGCTTGAAGCGATTTCTGTGATTACTACACATACTATGCTTGTCCTGGGCAGGCCAGCGCAGATGGGCGAGAGCCAGTTGCCACAACGGAGTCTGGCTGGAATCTGAGAAGTTGGGAGCAGGCTTGCTCTGGTATCGTGCGCGGCAACTATGACCACGACTGTGACTCGATTGAACCTGAACAGAGGTTCTTCACTATCACAAAGAAGCGGAGCTGAAGCACGCCCACGCCCTGGCCTAATGGGCACCGTGATGCATTGTGAACAATGGACTTGACCCTGTCCAGTTAATACAAAGATCATCGCGCATCCCTGGAAAGTCGATCACCGAATTTCTCACAGCGACGCCGCACTTCTTTCCTTCGAATGGTGAGCGGTAATATGTGATTGGCTCATTCCACGGCAGCAAGATGCTACTGCACCCCAGCATGTAACGATGCATTCAATGTTCATGCAAAGCCGATTCCAAGTCACAAAGTGTTTGGTCGTATATACCTTGTTTGTCGCGTAAAGGCCTGAAGACGAGCAAGAGCAAGCCAAGCGCTGGGGTGAGAAGGCAGCTCATGCTAGAGACCTGCAGCACTTCTGTTTGGAATGCATGTTCGACGTACCTCTCTCTCTCTACTCTCGTGTGAGGCCTTCCTTCAGCAGGCCTGCAAACTGCTGTGCTTGTGAAGTTGATTGATACCCACCGTTCTGCCCACTTCTGCACAGGGGCAGCGCGGGATGATTCAAATCCGCCGGAAGCAGAGCAAATTGCACAATAGTTTGATACTTCGGGCAGGAATGTTGCACCCTCGTTAGTAGGGGCCCCTCTATAAAGTCAAGCTCGCCGGACTATTCAGGACACCGTGGGCTGTTGCGGGGGTACGGACCAAACTCCCATGCAAAGTCAAGTTGTTCCGGCGGCCTGACATTCGTTTTTAAGGCCCTGTTTTTCAGCCAACTGTAAAACCGTTCCTGGCCTCTTGGCGTAAGCCTTAACGGTCTTAACGGCCGGGCCCTTGAATCTTCAAGGCAGGGCTTCTTTCCGAAACCAAGATTCCATTTGAAAAAACCATAATATTCCGCAAAGGGGTGGTCCAGGAACCACCTGGACCTCCTTTTTTAAAATGCGCACTGCTTTGGGACCCTCCCTCGTGTATGTCCTGGCTCCGTGCCCGGAGCTCTGGATTAGATGCCCTGGCCTCTTGGCTTAAAGGCCGGGCCTTTGAATCTTAAAGGCAGGCCTATCCAAGACCCCCAAAACCGAAATCCCGCCCGAGCCGAAACCAAGTGTTCCAGAAACCACACGAAAAATTGTCTCCATCAATCCGGCAAAGCAGTGCAGGGTGGTCCAGGAACCACCGGACCTCCCATAATGGGCACTGTTCGTGTATGTCCGGGCCAGGAGCTCTGGAATTCCTGGCCTCTTGAGTCAAATAAAGGCCAAGCAAGCTCTTGAAATCTTCAGCGACGGAGCCTTGGATTTGATTTCAAAGACCTGGCCTCTTTGGCCTAACCAACGGGGGAGAGACGGGGGGCGATTCCTAAGCCTCGTCGTAGCCTCTCTTCTATCCAATCCCTATTTAGTTTATGTAAACTCATCCCTATTGCAGTCATATAAAATCCCGTGGACGGATAAAGAGTGACAAAATCAGTTTCGGCCGTTGAGGGGGAGGAGGGCACACGAAATAGGGTGCAACATTACTTCCTTTAGGGGCACTGGACCAGCAGGATTTGGCATCAGTGCGCCTTTAAAAGCGTTTACAACAAGACTGTGCCACCGCGTTCTGTGTGTTTCGGCTAGAGTCTGCCGCATGTCTGGTCTTGGTCTTGTCCTTCACTGGCCGTACCAAGGTTTTCGAGCAAGGCATGACCGAGCAGACTGAGCTTATGTCCGATTAATTGCAGCTGCATGCAGTTGCTGGCCAGAAGCTGTGAACGGTCGCCGCGAAAGGAGGTGGTCAAGAACTGACACAGCGTGTGTAGAAGGGCTTTGGTATGCTCTGGTCGTTCCTGGTCCTGGAACGAGTCTCACATTCCGAGCATTACTTGCGACGTGCTCGAAGAAACACTCCGGCCAAAGGGGGTCAACTGCTGATTCGTTATTGTCCGGTTTTGGCCTGGGGTTTAGGGCCTGGGGAGGCTAACGCAGAGATGCAATGGTAAGAACATGAAGCTAACAAAAATTAGGTGTTTTTGTTGTGTCCGTTCGTTTAGGCCTTTGAAGCTGAGATGATTGGAGAGAACTTGTGTTTTTGTTTTCTCAATGTTATGGGATTCTCTGGGTGGGTGGGCGTTATATCAGAGCCGTAAAAAAACACTTTACGACAAAACTGCTCGATCCGGAGCTGCTGGACCCTAAACCCTAAGCCCTGAACCCCCCCCCCCCCCCAAACCAATAACAACCAATAGAAACTCGAAAACCAATACAAACCTATAGACAACCAATAGAAAACCAATAGAAACCAACAAGGGTTTAGGGTTTAGGGCTTAGGGTTTAGGGTTTAGGGTTTAGGGTTTATTGGGTGGTCCCCAAATGCTTTCCCCGAGGGAAAAATTGCATTTGGTAGGGTTTCCGGCTATGCCTTAAAGCTCAAAATAGGGTTACCCTCAAGTATTGCTGGCCCTGACAGTAAAGGTAGGTGAAAAACAGTAAAAACCTCGGAAAAATTGCATTTTAAGGCTTCGGCTCATGGTTTTTAGAGCAGAATTCATGGTATTTGCAGCACCCCTGTGGTTTCCCAGGCAACAAAGGCATGCAAAATGCAATTTTTCCGAGGTTTTTACTGTTTTTTACGTAAGCTTAGGAAAGGGTTTAAGCTTTAGGGTTTAGGGTTTAGGGGTTAGGGGTTAGGGGTTAGGGGTTTAGGGGTTTAGGGTTTAGGGTTTAAGGTTTAAGCTTTTTGTTTAGGGCTTCAGTGTTTCGTGTCTAGCAACAAACAAACCCCTTACAATTAAGTAAACAAGGCATTTGGGGGTTAGGGTTTGGGGTTTAGGGTTTAGGGTTTAGGGGTTTTATGGTATAGGGTTTAGGGTTAAGGACGGGTGCTTGTGGCAAGGTTTTTGTCTTGGCCTTATGGTTTAGGGTTTAGGGTTTAGGGTTTAGGGTTTAGGGTTTAGGGTTTGTGCTAAACTCTAAACCCTAAAACGTGGCGACTGACGGGAGTCGCCACGTTTTAGCGTTTATGGTTTAGGGTTTAGGATTTAGGGTTTAGGGTTTAGGGTTTAGGGTTTAGGTATTTAGGGTTTAAGGTTTAAGCTTTTTGTTTAGGGCTTCTGTGTTTAGTGTCTAGCAACAAACAAACCCCTTACAATTAAGTAAACAAGGCATTTTGGGGTTAGGGTTTAGGGTTCAGTTGAGGGTTGAGGGTTTAGGGTTTAGGGTCTAGGGTTTAGGGTTTAGGCTTCAGGCTTTTAGGGGTTAGGGGATTAGGGTTTAGACGGGGGGGGAGGGTGCAGCTGAGGAAGATGACAACATGAACACGATCGAGAGCCTGGTGCCCCAGAGGGTTTAGGGTTTAGGACAGGTGCTTCTGGTAAGGTTTTTGTCTTGGCTTAGGGTTTCGGGCCTAGGGTTTTGTGGGTAGGGCTTAGGGTTTTGTGTTTAGGGTTTAGGGTTTATTGGGTGGTCCCCAAATGCTTTCCCCGAGGGAAAAATTGCATTTTGTAGGGTTTCCGGCTATGCCTTAAAGCTCAAAATAGGGTTACCCTCAAGTATTGCTGGCCCTGACAGTAAATGTAGGTGAAAAACAGTAAAACTTGCATTTTAAGGCTTCGGCTCATGGTTTTTAGAGCAGAATTCATGGTATTTGCAGTAATTTTGTGGTTTCCCAGGCAACAAAGGCATGCAAAATGCAATTTTGAGGTTTTTACTGTTTTTTAAGCTTTGGAAAGGGTTTCAGCTTTAGGGTTTAGGGTTTAGGGTTTCGAGCCTTCTCAGGTGGAAGAAGAGCCGAAGAAGCTGCATGGGCCCTGGTGGTTGAAGTTTTAAGGTTCAGGGATCTAGGTTGCTTAACTGCCCGCTTTTCGGGGGGGGGGTTGAAGTTTAAGGCTACAGGGATTTGGGGGCCTTAACTGTTTGCTTCTGGGGGGCTGGGGGAGGGGGGGGGGGGGTTGAAGTTTAAGGCTACAGGGATTTGGGGGCCTTAACTGTTTGCTTCTGGGGGGCTGGGGGAGGGGCTGTAGGGATCTGGGGGCCTTAACTGCTTGCTTCTGGGGGGCTGGGGGGTTTAGACGGGGGGCTTCGGGGGCTTGAGGGTTAAAGGTTGCCCCCAAATCTGATTGCTCTGCGAAATGGTTGAAGGATCAGGGATTCTAGGTTTTAGGGCTTAGGGCTTAGGGCTTAGGGTTTAGGGTTTTAGGGTTTTAGGGTTTTAGGGTTTTAGGGTTTTAGGGTTTAGGTTTTGGGTTTAGGGTTTTAGGGTTTAGGGTTTAGGGTTTAGGGTTTAGGGTTTAGGGTTTACTGGGTGGTCCCCAAATGCTTTCCCCGAGGGAAAATTAGCATTTTGTAGGGTTCCCGGCTATGCCTTAAAGCTCAAAATAGGGTTACCCACTGCTTTTTAAGCTTAGGAAACAAGCTTAGGGGTTTAAGGTTTAAGGTTTCGGGTTTCAGGTTTAGGGTTTAGGGTTTAAGGATAGAGCCTTCTCAAGTAGAAGACAAGCCGAAGAAGCTGTGTGGGCCCTGGAAAGGCTTAAAAGGCTTAAGGGGGCTAAGGAGGCTTGGGGGGCTTAGGGGGCTTAAGGGGGTTAAGCGGGCCAAAGCAGGCTTAAGGGGGTTAAGGGGGCTGGGGGGCTTAGGGGGCTTGAGGGGGCTTAAGGGGGCCAAGGGGGCTTAAGCTTGGGGGCTTAGGGGGCTTAAGGGGGCCAAAGAGGCTTCAGGGGCCAAGGGGCGTTAGGGGGCTTAGGGCTTGAGCGGGCCAAGGGGGCTTAGGGGGCTTAGGGGTCTTCCAGAGGTGAGGGGTTTTAGGGTTTCAGGTTGTTCCCAAATATGCCTGCTCGCCGAAATACTTTAAAGTTTAGCTTTTAGGGTTAAGGTTTTTAGGGTTTAGGGTTTAGTTTTTGGAGATTAAGGTTTTTAGTTTTGAGCATTTAGGGTTTAGGGATTGTGTGCTCAATGGATTTTAGTGTTTAAGGATTTCAGGGTTTAGGGAGTTTTGGGTTTAGTGTTTAGGGTTCAGGGGTTTAGGGTTTAGGGTTTAGGGTTCAGGGTTTAGGGTTTAGGGGGCTTAGGGTGCTGGGGCGCAGGTGCTTCCCATGGACAACAAGCAGATCCAGCGCGGTTCTGAGAAAGCTTGGGGGCTTGCAGAATTGAGAGAAGACAGTTGCACCAGTTCTTTGCATACCTGAGCCAGTGATTTCAAGTTACAAGTTAGCTCCTAGCAGGTGCAAAGCCATGGCTCAGTGCCAGGCACTCAAGTGGGACAAGCAGCAGTGCAGCTTGAAAGCCAAGCCCGACAACTGCTTTTGTGGCAACCGCGTCCACAAACAGCCCCATGGCATATTCCAGGCAGATGCAGCAGCCCAGGCACAGCCCCCAGCCAAAGCTGCACCCCCAGCCAAGCCTGCTTCTCCACCCAAAGCACCAGCATCAGCAGCACCATCCCCTGCCAAGGCCCCACCAGCTCCCAAAGCCCAGCCTGCAGCACCAATCTTCCCAACAGTCCTGGGTGACATTGTTGGGGGTGGATTCGACGTGGACATGATGCTTCTTCCCATGCATGTGTCCAAGGTGGAGGAGATTTCAAAACACTGGTCCACAAGCCACTCTCCACCTATGAAGGTCTTCTCTGAAAGACCTGATATGCTGCAGGTGTTCAATGCACCCATGGCACTCTTCATAGATGTGCCTGAAGGTGCAATCTTGCAAGACTTCAAATTTAAAGAGAGTGTTTGCAATGCATTTTGGGGTGCTGGGGTGGAAATACCCTTGCCAACCAGCCACCCCAGTGTAAACACCTACAATGGGATGGTCCTGGCCAGGAGGAATGTGAAGGTACACTGGAAGGCCAGTTGTGCGTCTGATTTGGCTTTCCAGCACAAGGACCCTGACTGCCTGTATGTCTTTGGCATTGAGAATGGCAAGTGTCAAATTGAGTTGGATGGCGAGATGTAGGCTCTGAGAGGGGCAAATTCATGCAGGTGTACTCGCCACCTTCTCATGTCATCAAAGCTTCTGGTGAGTACGAAAGAAAGATGCCCACCACCATGAAGGCTCTCAGAGGCAGGAAGCAAGGGCTGGTTTCGCTGGTAGATTGCATCCTCGCCAATTTGTCCAAGGCTGGCGGGTACAGGGTGGAGGTCAGAATGAAGCATGGGATGGGGGCAGAGACCGGCAAAGAGGCAATCGGGTTGGGCCAAAGGCTGATCTCCCAGCTTAGGAATGCAACTGGCGCTTCCATTCTAGTGCACAAGGTTCCCGCTGAAGCCTACGCCGCATTCTTGAAAAAAGAACTGGCAGCAGCCATAGATGCCACAACCTTTTCGGGCATGAGGAACTCTGGCCCTGACCGACATGTGCCAGCACAAGTAGCAGCCTTCAAGGAGAAAAGCTTGCAGTGGTGCAAGCTAGTCTGCAATCTTGGCTTGCGTTCTGGCCACTTTGCCAGGCGTGTGGGTAATGGTAGCTCCTGCCAGCCCAACCATTTCTGCTGGTTCTGTTGCTTCAGCTGGAGAGCAAGATGAGGCAGCCCAGAAGGTGCTGGCTTCGCGGACATCCCCCCCTCCTTGCAGGCTATTGCAGCCAAAACCTTCTAAACCCTCCCAAAACCCTTCGAAACTTTTCGAAACCCTTCTAGACCAAAAAGGGAAAGCTCGTTTTCATAGAATGGGGTTGAAGTAGACAAGAACAAAGCCCCAAACAGAACACGGCGGTAGCATGAGAGTCAATAAAGCACCAGAAGCACTTAAGGAGCAAAGTAAGCTCTAAGCCCTAATCCCCGAAACCCTGAGGCGTTCTTTAACGACTGTTGCCCCAACAACTACTTGAGCAAGCGGGTCGCCGTGAGGTGCACTCTTCACTATTGTTGACATCGTTGGTGGTTCGTTGCGGGTTACAAGCTTTCCACTTTTCCAACACAAGAAATGTGTGTG